GAAACAAACACAGAAAGAAGATACAGCTTTTGGATGATTTCGACTAAATAGTTCAATTCAATCAACCAAACTTTTAATGCGCACAAGTACCGTTCAACAGTTCCATTGAAAATGACGAAAGGGCACCATGAACTAACTCAAGGATCTTGTGGCTTGTCATATGCGCACGAGTACACACATGATCAAAGGTACAAATGGGGGCAAAACAAGTTCCCAAGATTCAAGACAATGTATGAAATAAGTCAGATGAAACATTACATATATTACAACCTTTAAGATTTTATCTGTATTTTTCTTTTGTGGAAAAACTTAAAAGATTTAAATAAGTTGCAGAAATCCTCAGAATGAAAACTGCAACATAATAAGTTTTCCCATCGTACAGGAGCTAACCTTTGATTTCTGACTACAAGATGAGATTCTAAATTCTGTGCCATCATGCCATAACCATAAAATATACATACGCAAGTATATAACAAGATTGTATAAAATGATTAATTAACATAGCTAACATTTCATCAAAAGAAATTTGAGCAATTTGTGAAGCTAATTAATTTACCAGACGATTGCTCCAGTAGCACCAAGGAGCATAAAAATTAACAACCAAAATTGGATGCCTGCAAAAGAATTGTTTAATGCAAAATCAGGAATGGTATTATTTTGCAACATAAAGTCAGAAGTCACCCACATCAGTGGCTTTAAATATGAAAGGTATGGAATTAAAAGTTGGCCTACTTACTGGTGAGTAAACTTTTCAAAAGTTCGAGCGGTTAGTGAAACAGAGCCATCACCAGCATATTCATCACCATCCCCATGCTTAATGTCATGGAAAGCGGGTCCTGAGTGGAACTCAGAGCCGGTGGGTTTTAAATCTGGACCTATAGAGAACTTGCGAATTGTTTTCGTTATATTCAATCTGTTCTGAAAATAAGAGGGCACGAATTCAGGCCAGATGGATGCCACATCAAGAATATAAAAAATGACTACACAGGATCTTTAACAATAGGGAGCAAAAATCGATAACAGAATAGATAATATAGACAAAACAAAATGAGAGAGAAACTTACTGTTCCCAACACATCACTCACGTCAACGGATGCAAATTCACATGAGAGTGCAGGAAAACTACATGGAAATTGAGATAATGTTAGTTTTTTAAATAAATAAAACACAAGAAAATGAGAGAGAGAGAGAGAGAGAGAGAGAGAGAGAGAGAGAGAGGGGGTGGGAAGGGAGTTTATATAAGTTGATAGTTCAAAAGTGAAAGACTAAGAGTTTCCCTGAGTAACAGAGGTGGTACCCTGATAACCTAATGCTTTGACAATCTAATTGGCTCCTTTCAGCCGAGTAAAGCATTGCCTACAAATTCCCAAGTAATGCACCTAGGAATCATTTGAACCTAATTAAAGCATGTACATGGAACTCAGGCATCACCTTGTCCACGCTTGATAAGTCCTACAACTCTCAACCATGATATTGATGCCAGTCAATATATAATACTACTAAGTATTCATCACATGTGGTTCGGCAGTATCACGTCAAACTAGCATTCGAAAGTTCCGACCATATGTGTCATATATAGGATCTGATAGTGTCGACTCCATATACGAACATAGTAAGCCCAAACATGACTCAATAACTTCATAAACATCGAAAAATATCAATCCAAACTATGAAACTTTACCTTATATTAAATCCAATACGTAAGAAGTCCCCATCAGAACTCTTGTCAACAATAACAGATGTAGAGGTGCTGAAGGCCAAATAACTATTCAGTTCCTGCAAAATGATCATCGTAAGTACCATCAGATGTAAAGAAATGTCACTATTACTAAATTTAGTAATAAAGTGCCAAAACAGATTACTGAAAAAGGAAAAAGGAAAAAGGAAAAGATGATGAGGTACATTAGCCACAAGAATATCTCAACGAAAAAAATTATAGAAAAGAAAGAAAACTAATGGAAATTCCAAAAGAAAATTTAGAAATAAAAAAAGGATACACACATCCATACAGGACCAAAACAAGCATTAATTGAGAAAAAGGATCATCACTCATTCTCTAAACAGTCAAAGTTTAATGCTTTGAATAAGTAACCAACTAAAGATATAGGAGCTGCTTTACCATTCCAAATAAAAACATCATGGCAAGAGCTGCTATTATAGATAATCCTGCACCCGATAATGATGCTTCAGTCAAATCTCTTGGAATTTTCCTGGACATAGGAAAACATTTGTAGCATAAATTAATATATACATATATATAAAGTATCAGAACAACCACCATAAGTAAAATAATGCACACTAAATTTCCCCACAGGTCTATTTTTCTTTCACCTGCTATTCACAAGAAACTTTTTAGAAGAGATGCAAAGCGATCTCCATCTGTATTACCTATAAACTTTATGTATGTAAAATTAGTTTCTTTAATGCATTAAGAAAGTATATACAATTCTAAGCCCATGTAATTTGAAGTTTTTATTTCAAAGCACTATGACTCTGAAAGTGGATTTGCTTGCCGATACTTGTTTTGTATCTTTATTTATTTTCTTTTCCCTGGGATTTCCGCCTGCTTTTGCATCCTGTTTCTCTGAGCACCTCCAAATAATCTGCTAATGCTTCCTTACTCTCAGGTAGTGTTGTTGAAATGAACTTTGAAAAGGCATGGGCAAATCTATGGAGTGGCTAATTCATTGTTTAGTCGACCAACCCATAAATAAAAAAAACAAACCAACAAAATCAAAAGAAAGCAAAATAAAATAGGAATTCCATGTCAATGCCCATTCCAGAAAATGTAATTGGCAATTATATTCCTCACCAGTTTGCATCTCTTTCCCATGTTCATCCTAGCAATCAAACACTACAAATTCTTCCAAAAACAACCTAAAACTAACACAACTTACTCGTTCCTACATCAGCCATCAAGATTATCAACCAATAGTTATTCTTTGCCACCAAACTACTCAAAAGCATCAATCTTTTCAAACTTTTCTACACGATTATTACATTAATCATCAATTCTGATTATAACCCAACAATTACTTCAATTCCATTCGCGCATCCAAGCCATTCATTCTCTAACCCACCATAATTCATAACCCAAATGCACCAACGCAATCACACAATGAAATTGAGCTTCCATAATCAGATTCAGATTTACACACACAACAGAGCTGATGCACAGTGAAGGGAAGTAAAGGAAATGCGAGAGATCTGACCTGTAAAAATCGACAGACTTGATCTTGCCGGTGGAAATCATGGTGGAGATTAAGGGTGTGGATTTCAGAGCAACAGATAGCTCTAATCCCAGTTCCCGAGCAATAAAAATGAATGAAATGGGAGAGAGAGCTGCCTTGCCTACGCCTCTCGCCTCTCGCCTCTCGCCTCTCGCCTTAGCTTCTTTCTCTTTCTGCTCTGCCTTCACGTGTTTTTTTATTGATCCTGTGTGCGACGGTGCAGCTTACTTAGTGCGGAAAGAAACTATCACTTTCGCGCATGGGGCCAGATCCAGTGCAAGTGCGGACCCACGTTTTTTTTATTGATCCTGTGTGCGACGGTGCAGCTTACTTAGTACGGAAAGAAACTATCACTCTCGTATAAGGGGCCAGATCCAGTGCAAGTGCGGACCCACAATATCTCGATTCTGTAAATTAAATGAGAATAAAGGCTTACCTTTTATTTTATTCTTTTTCTTTTCTTTTTCCTTGAGCTAATTTAGGTAACGCGCAATTAGTAGTTGACTTTTCTTATTTTGTGATGTCAGATTTTTATATGGATTTTTTTCTAAATCATAAGGGATTATCGAACTCTTAGACGTATACTAATTTTATTTCAATAATACTATTTGTATAACATTTATTGACCACTTTGTTTTATTTTCACTTTCTCTCACTTGGGCGCCAACAAAATTATATTTATTTAAGTTTTTATAAGCAACAACCCTTAAATTTTGAGACTTACATCAAAATGGTATTTGAATTTTAGTTTAATTATGATCTTCATCTTTTCTCGTGTGCATAAACTCGATTAGAATAAAGCCCAAAACCCTTAGTTTCAAAATATGTGCACATAAGATTCATTAGAATCAAGAACCACTAGTATTGAAAATGGAGTTTTTATAAATAAAAAAAGCCAAAATTTACCGCTCACTTTCATAAATATCAGTTTTTATAAATAAATAAATAAATAATTCAAAAATAGTCAAAAACTCACTTAAATAGACTTAAATGCACTCAAAATTAAAATACACATAAATAAATAAATAAAAGCATGTCAGTGAAGAAGATAGAAGAGTGATATCTTGCAGGCACTGTGAAGCCGTAATACCGATAGGAAAGTGACATTTGAATTAATCCATTAGTCAATTCAGTAACTTGTTTCGACTTTCCTTGTAATGTGCAATTATATGCCCAATTTTCAATTCACTCTATTTCAAGGTTTGTAAACAAAAAATCAATAACCCAATTTTCAATTCTTCTAGTTGTGTGATCAACCCAATTTTGGGGGTTTGAATAGTTCTTGTATGATTTGAACAACTAATTTTAATATCGACTTTCATAATCTTGGACAGGATAATAAAACAAGACTTTCAGACGCTAGGGAGCACAACCATGTATTTAATTTTTGTACTAATGTATTGGAATTACTCCAATTCCCTCCCGATAACACATAAGGAATCAAAATTCATGTGAGTTTCAAACATAATAGGAGTTATAATATGGTAAAAAAAGAAGTTAAGGTGGCAACCTGAAAAAAAAATAAAAAAAATATAGTGATCACGTGACTTGCATGTGATTCTTTTCACGAAAAATTTCTTGCTTTTTTGTTTTCACCCTGGGCATTTTCATTTTGTAAACTCAAGCTCACGAACCGTTGTGATTTGATTTCATTGCCCGGCCGGCAGTAAACAGTAGAATAGAAAGTTCCAAACTCAGGCAGTTGTATTCAACCTCCATCATCAGCATCATCCTCATCATCATCAGCCCCAAAGCTAGAGAGAGTGAGAGATGGCAAGTGTAGCTGCGCTAAGAGCCTTGAGGAAACGAATCAGTCCTTCCTTCACGTCACAAATTATCGCTTTCACCTCCAATTCTCGATCCGTAAGTTCACTTTCATTCATTCACCACAAATATTCAAAATTTACTTCAAAATATTTTCAATTAGATATGGCAGTTCAACTATTCAATCTAGTTAATAATTATTTTTTAATTGTATATAATTTTTCAAATGATTGAATAGATTAGCACACTGGTGTTAGCTGAACACGAAGGTGGTGCTATCAAGCCCCAATCAGTGAGCGCGGTAAAGGCTGCAAAATCTTTAAGCAACGACAATCCTATTTCATTGCTATTGGCAGGCTCCGGCTCTGCCCTTCACGAAGCCGCAGCAAATGCCGCTTCATGTGACCCTTCAGTTTCTGAGGTATCTCAAATGGCGTCGACAGGTTCTTTTTAATCTATGATAAAGTCTTGTGCTTGATGTTGTTTTGGTGGCGTTTTTGCTTATTTCCAAATGGGTTACTGACCCAATTGATTGAATGGATTTTTTTTTGTTGGTAAATATTAAATGGGATATTGAAAATTGTGGACTGTTATGGTATGTGATCAATTACTGTTGTGTAGGTTCTTGTCGCTGATTCTGATGAATTTAGTCATCCTCTAGCAGAGCCTTGGGCTAAACTGATCCATTTGGTTCAGCGGAAGGGCGGGTACTCACATGTAATCACTGCTTCAGGTTCGTTTGGCAAGAACATACTGCCAAGGGCAGCTGCCCTTTTAGATGTTTCTCCGATCACGGATGTGATTGAAATTTCAGACCCTCATCTATTTGTCAGGTAACTTTGGTTATATGGCTGTTGTTGTGATCATTTCTCCTGTCATGTAAACTGTTGTTTGAAATTTGTTTTTCTTTTGCACGTAATGACTTCAGTGAAAAGAAACAGTACACCACAATGAAATAGCAGTTCACTGAAAATACAACCAATCAAAGCCACTACAGCCGCATTAGCAAAACCATATTATAATTCACCAGACAAGAAGAGCTCTTCAAATCTAAACAGTTTATAGTCAACATTTACATGCGTCCTTACTGTACTAAAAACTCAAGTGCTTTTAATTCTTTATTCTTCTGATTTTTTGGCACAAGAGGTTTTTGTCAACCCAATTCCCGATAGGTAGAAACTCAGGGATTTCCCTGCCAAAGTTTCAACTTATCCAAATCAGATGCAAGCCAGAATGGCTTACATTTAGCTCTGGTATCTTGTTTCACTTTTGGCAAGGTTCTAGATGGGTTTGTTCCATGTTCCTGCGTAAGCATCTCTTGGTTGACATGTATCTGTGGTAAATGTCGATTTCATCTGGCTAGAAGTAAGATGATATTTTCATATGGCAGGCCAATATATGCTGGTAACGCACTTTGTACTGTTCGATACACTGGTGCCGGACCTTGCTTGTTGACAGTTAGATCAACATCCTTTCCAGTGCCCTCCATCTTAGCCGATTCAAAATCAAATGAAGCTCCTATCACCCAGGTTGATCTCTCCACCTTTGGTGAAGGTCTGTTTGTCATTTTCTAATCCATAAACTATTTAGTGGCCAAATATACCTTTAAAATTTAATTTATTTAACTAGAATTGTATGTGACTGCTTCTATGTCCATCTGTGGATTCATTTTCGTGGTAATGCTTCAAAATCAACAGTGTCTTGGGTGATTTTTGTCCATCAAATGGATCTGGCTGATCAATTTGCTAAATTGCTACCTAATTGACAATTAAAACATAGGTCATCTATTAACATGGTTTAATATCTCATTTGCAGATTCTGTTGGTAAATCTCGATATGTAAAGCACACATCACAGGATACAGAACGCCCTGATCTTGGGAATGCTCGTGTTGTGGTTACTGGGGGCCGTGCATTGAAAAGTGCTGAAAACTTCAAAATGATAGAAAAACTTGCTGAGAAACTTGGTGCAGCTGGTAATTCCTTGTAAATATTGTTTTTTGTTAGTACTCCTTTTCTTTTCTTTGTTTTTTTTCTTTTTTTTTCCCAGCATCTGTATTCTTGTGCTTGTGTTTGTTAGTGCTGTTGGTAATTCCATTGTAATATTTTTCGTGCTCATAACTCCATTCTTTTCTTTTCCAGCATCCGTATTATTTTTGGTATTGTTTCTCTGTGTGTGTCTTATTGTTGTTTGCCTCTGCGTGTGTGACTTGTCCCGTGACTGTGCGTGTGTGCTGATGACCTGTCATGCGTCATGCTAATGACTTTCCATGCTTCTCATAACTTTAATATGATGTGTAGTTGAGTTGTCATAAACATTATATTCAGAATTTGAAGAATTTGAACCTTCCATACTTGAACTTACAGGCATATGCTGTTGTTGCGAACGGGTAAGAAAATCTGACATTTCTTTCTTCTTTTTTGCTTAGTTGGAGCTACCCGTGCTGCTGTTGATGCAGGATATGTTCTTAATGACCTTCAGGTAACGTTGATAATGGTTCTTTCCAACTTTGAAGAATGTATTAACTTCTATGTATCTTTAGCATTTTCAATACACCATAAGCTGGAACTTCACTCATGCCCCTTCCACATCAAGTGTTTCATTTGTAGCCTATTCTTCATGGTATTGAAACTGTCAAAACTCATTTGTTTACTAGTTGACTTTTTTTTTTGGTGGTCTGAATTTACTAGTTGACATTATGCAACACAAAAATAGAAAAATGCTTCAGCTTCTCATCCCAGCTAGAAGGCTTGCAGTGCAGATGCCACATTTGAAATACCTTTTCTAGTACACATGCTTTTTTCTTTTTAATAACAGGCAAGAGACTTGAATGCTCACATTATTCGCCATATCTCTTCCTAAATCTTACATATATAAATTGGTGTCATGAATCTTAACCATTTGCACTATCTTGAGGATATGAAATGCATTGGGTCTCAAAAAGGGTGCATATTATAATTAGTCCTATGTTCTGATTTTCAAATTTTTTTTGGTTCTCCTGGTCTTAGAATGTGGTTACTTTGTGTATTAGGTTGGCCAAACTGGAAAGATAGTTGCCCCAGAGTTGTACATGGCTTTTGGTGTTTCTGGAGCCATTCAACACTTAGCAGGCATGAGAGATTCCAAGGTCATTGTTGCTGTGAACAAAGATGCAGAGGCCCCCATATTCCAGGTGATGGCTTGAACTCTCTCTCAAGGTTAATGGTAATTCGTACAGTTGGCCTCTCAGATCTGAAGGTTATGATACAAGATGCATTCTTTTCAAAGTCTGCAGAATTCAGTCCTCACTGAAAGAGCCAAAAGGCAAAGCAATTTTTTGCTTCCTCAGCTGCCAAAAAGGGAAGGAAACAAAAGAAGGACTTAGTTTCTTAAAATGTGGACCATATAATGTATTTGGTTTAAGGATTTTTCATTCCGCAAAACTTGTTCTGTATGTAGCTGTCAAGCATTTTTGGAAAGATATGGCATAAATGGATTTACATGCTGCTAATTTTTGCCATTCTAATAATAAACTCTTTGATGTACGTTACAGGTTGCTGACTATGGACTTGTAGGCGATATCTTTGAAGTGATACCAGAGTTGCTAGAGAAGCTTCCTGAGACAAAATAAGCTCATAACCTGAACAGTTTACGCATCCAAAAATGTGCTGCAAGATAGTTGAACATCTTTGTACATCAGAAATTCCATATTTAATAATAGTAACAATATCAGAACCTGGTATTGGAATTTTAATAATACCATCATAATTCTTCTGGTGAATATGCCTTCCCTCAAATAAAATCGTGAAGAAATTGTGTTATATCAAACTTGTGGATTAAATTTACTCCGCATCCGTTTTGCAATGATTTCCATTTGGCGACCCTTATAAGACTTTTCTAACATTGGGGGCATCCCAGTTGTATTAAGCAACATTATCCTCTCTTCCTCTCATTCATGACTACGTACTTTTTAAGAGCCACGACGTCTTCATATTTTAGGAGCTGTATAGAGAGCCGTTGTGTAGCCAGAGAAGTTTATTCCCACTAGTCAACTGGTAAATAAATTTTGCGTTCTAATTCTCAGAATCTGCGTACGATGAAGAAGAAAAAAGATTTTTGATAATCCTTTTTGTATAAATATTTGTTTGGTGACATTAAAATAAGCAAGCGCATCTGGTGTAGTGGTATCATAGTACCCTCCCACGGTACTGACCAGGGTTCGATTCCCTGGATGCGCATATCTGTTTTTCTTTTTAGGCAACATGCCATTTACATGAGGGACATGCGTTTTTGTTGTTGTTGAGTAAGGATGGTTTTTTTTTTTTTTTTTTTTTTTCATGGGTTACATGTTAAGAATTAGCATGTCAGTGACGGCTTCGTTAAATAATTACATGTTGAAAATAATTAACTATAAAGTAAAGCAGCTTCATGTTTGGTAAATATATTCTTTTAAAATGCTGTTAGTACAAAAAGTAGTGTCAAAACCATTTGGTAAAATTTAATATAAAAGTGTTGTAATTGTGAATAATGACTCAAATATACATGATGTGTTGAAAGTGTTATGTGCTAATTATGTGGTGGTAGTGGAGGTGGTGAAAGAGATGGAGGTGAAGATGGTGGTGAAAGAGGTGGTTGTTGTGGTAGTGGTGGTGGTGGGGATGTCGGTTGTGGAGGTGGAGGTAGTGGATGTGATGGTGGATGTGGAGGTGGTGGAGGTGGTGGAGATGGAGGAGGAGGAGGAGGTAGTGGTTGTGTGGTGGTGGCAAATAAGGATGTGGTGGTGATGATGGTGGCAGAGGAGGATGTGGTGGCGGCAATGATGGTGGTCGTGGAGTTGGTATAGTTGGATGTCAAGGTGGAGGTGGAGGTGGTGTCATTTTAAAAATGAATGATGATATTTTGGGAATTTAAAAAATTCATTGAAGGCTTATATCTGCTTCTTTTGAAAAGCAATCCAGAGCTTGCTTTTAAAAATTGCTGTCAAAAGGTCACTGTTTTTAAAATAATCGATATATTTTATTTTTACCAAACACCTTAATTTGCTTAATTTTAAAGTTAAGCAGGTTTTCGGCTAAAAAAAGCAATCCCAAATGTAGCCTTAAAACCTTCTCGGAGAAAATAAAATCCTGGGGTAGGAAAGAGTATCACCTATATGCTTGACTAAACATAAGCAATAAAATCCCGGGGTAGAAAATAAGATCCTCGACTCCCCGTTTTATCAGTTTCGGGGAGTCATTCAAAACATTTAATTTAAATATAACAATCAATATGCAAAATAAGAGTTTCAAAACATGAATCCATTTCGACATTTTATGCTTTGGCAATAGAGGAACTATATGCGAACTCCAAGAAGAGACCTTTATCATTCTTTGATGTTCTAAAATCTAACTAAATATATGATTTCACTCCCTTCACTCTCAAATAGTTTTATGTTTGGAAGACTATAATAATTATCATATCCTATAATAATTGATCCCTAGCAGAGAGGAAAGTATTTTTCCAATCTCAACTCCTTCAACGAAAAAGCCCTACCAGTTTTCAGAAGGATGCTTCCATTGAGCCGATTTTCACTCAAATTGACAATGCCTAGGGCTTTCAACTCTCCAATAGTCACAGGAATATGACCAACAATGAGGAGGACGAGGATAAGAAAAAGTGGGAGGGTCAGTGCTATGAAAAGAGAGAGCTATGGGGGAGATTTCTATGGGCTAGGATAACAAAATATTATATTAAATTATACATTTATTAATTTAAAAAGAAACATATAATTATCGGGGCGGGTTCGGGGATGGGAACATCAATACCATCCTTAGTCCATACCCGTCATGGATTTTTAAAATTTGAGGATCCCCGTACTCGATCTTTGTTTGGCCCCGAAATCTCCCCAAGTTAGGGTTGGGGACCCGACGGGGATTTTGTCATCCCTAACCACAAAACCCTTAAAATACATTCCATCACTACGCTGTATTGTCACAGAAATCCTCTTATGATCTAGGGAAAGTATCATAGTTCTTAGTATAGAGTCAAAACCATACTGTGGGTATTAGAATAGATCCAACCAAACATAAACCGCAAAACCATTGAAACACATCTCATCACTACGCATGTATTGTCAAAGAAAGCCTCTATGATCTAAAGAAGGCATCATAGTTCTTCGTACATATTCAAAAACGTATTGTGGGCATCAAAACAGATCCAGCCAAACACCAACTGCCACCTCCAATTTTCTTGATCAAGAACCCCAGCTGACAAGCAGAGGAGACCAAAATTGGCCTCTTAGCCTAAAGAAATTTCCGAAGAAAGATCTATATAGTAGGAACGATCATTGGTTGCTAAGCCCACGAAAGATGAGAATTATAAAGGAGACCTTCGGAACCCCTCTAGGCTGGTCTCCTTCACCTTGTCAACAAAGTCCTTGACACAAAATTATGCTTACCAGAAAAAGCCATGCCACTAACAATCAGATGCCCAACACCAATTTCTGCATGCTTTCGATTCCCGCCTGATGCGGCCTACATGGCACCCCCTGAGCAGAAGATGCGGTTGTCACTTGCCTTGGTAGTGATTCCAAATTAAGGATTCCAAATTCATTTGGTTTGTGGTTTATTAGAAGTGAACAAGAAAATATTTAAAATTTTGTGGAAGTCAAATGGTAGTTTGGAAGTCATAAGATGAAAGTACATGAAATTATGAGTTCGTAGGGTTTTTTGGGGGAATTTTTCTGGGACACTAATGAATTTCTAATGAATATTCAAAATTGATCCACTGAGAGAGTGACACATAGCAGCTGCCGTTGGATTGCTTAAAATAGAGAAAAAAAAATAAAATTCTTAGAGAATTGCTGGGATAAGAAGCCCAAAGTCAGCTTGGACTTCTTTCTTCTTCTCCTTCGATACGTACAGGTTCAAACGAAAGAAATTGTCTTCAACATCTTCAGAAAATCATATCTTTAGTTATAGATCTCTGATTGATGAACGGTTTTCGCCTATGCGATCGTGAGATTGAGCCCAACAATCTAAGCTATAGGGGGCTGTTATTCAGATTTTTAAATTCGTTCAATTTGGGGTTTTTGAGTTTGTAAGGTTCAATCCAATGGTTTAAGTTGTTATTTAGGTTGTTTGTTGTAAGTGGAAGCTTATATAAGGATTGAAAATGAATTCAGAGAAAGTGAGATATAGATTTAGGTTGGATTGATTGCTGGAATATTGTACAGTGTTCATGTTCATGAGATTTTGTGGTTTTTTGTTATGTGCTTGGGACATGGCTCGTGGGATTGGGCGATAGGGAACAGGAAGTTGGTATGTAGTTTTCTTATTACGGCCTCATATGTTTGTAGCAAAAATTAGAATTAGAAGGCTCAATTGGGATAACAGCTAGATGAATAGGGTTGCTTTGAGGTAACACAAACCTCCAAGTTAGACAAACTAAGGGACCCACGTTTTGTTTTTGGACAAAGCTAAAGGACTCATTAGTGCAATTGTTTGGAGTAATTGCTTTCCTAAGTTGGTTTGAATCTTAGTATTTGTGTTGTAAGTGTGAGTTTAGTATAAATTATCGTCCCTCTCAATAAAATCAGTCATAAAACCAAAAACATTAAAAAATAATATATGATATCTCATTAATGAAAAGGAAAGAGGGAAGCTTTCCCATAGGGCCAACACTATAGAAGTGGATTAACTTGACTCCTACAACTACTCAACAACTAAAGTCTAGGGATATGCAAACTCCTACAATTATGCATCAACTAATAAACATGTAACAACTTCCACCAACTCATGAATGGACCCACTTTGAAGAGAGCACATGACAATTTTGGAGTTTAATGCATAACTTGAGTGATTTGGTAAATTATATGAGGTTTAATTGTGTAAATGGTATTGAGATGGAGACTGGAAGAAGAAACTCTAGAATTTGGCCTGGGAATTAACTGGATTCGCAGTAAGGACCTGTGTGCAAATTATTATGTAATTTTTGGGGCAGTTTTGTCATTTATCAAACGTTAAGGGGCCAAAGTGTAATTATTGAAAGTTCAGGGACAGATTTGTAATTTTAGTAAAATGAAGGACTCTAATGAAATTGGAGTATAGTTAAGGGGGAATGTAAGGAATCCTAGTTGTAAAGAAATTGGATAGCATTTAGTTACTACTTACGGGACAAATGGTCACACTTTTTATTTGTTGGAATAGGGACTTCGGTTATCGTGTGACTTGTATTTCATCGTGGTGTTGGCGAGGCATGTCTTATTCTTAGCATGGAATCTAGGTAGGGAGTTTCTTGTGGAAACCTTTATGGAGGTTGATTTAAATAAATTTCGTGAATATTATAAGATTATATGATATTGTTAAATGATAAAATTCTTGATATTAATTGGTTGATGCACTTGAGATGGTTTGAGCATGTAATATTGTTTCTCTTGGATGTTTATGAACTCTTGGATATAAATTTAATTTTGGAATATGAATATTGATGATTAGTGACTATAATTTGGTTTAGATGCATTTGAAATGTGCTTGGTGAAAGAGGGAATTATTTGAGAAATTATTCATGTGAGTAGTGATTATTGGAATTCTTGGATTGAGTAAGTAATTATGGAAGAAAGTATTGGAAAGTTTCTTTTGGGTAGTTGAGTCTAACTCTTGGTAGGTACCAAGTTCCAGGGATCCCACAGTGCACATGGTTTTTATTGGGTGTTTCGAGACTGGCGATAGGGAGTTAAGTAAGATGACTAACAACAGAGGAATTATGGAATGATTGAGATGAGTGTTAGTTCATATAAATGAGCATTCGAGACCAAGTGGTATAAGTATGGTATGAGACGTGCAAAGTATATTTGTTTAGTTATATGAATTAATAGGAATATACGAGAAGTTTGAATTGCACTCATGCATTACTATTTTTGATTTGGTACTTGACTATATGATGCCATGACACTTAATTTAATGTTATCAATCTTCTGTGATAAGGTTTTATGTCCCTACTGAGCTGCTGATGCTCACACCTCAAAATATTTTTTGATAGGTTTGTGAGTTGAGATAACTTATAGCCTAAGAGGAAGCAGATCTTGTTAAGGTACATATTTTTAGATATTCTTTGGGAAGGTTGACCTTTTAGTCTTCTTTTATTTATTTTACTTTATTATCATGCACTGAGTTCAAGATTAGGTCCATGCGCCGTTGAAGTGGCAGTGGTTTGGGGCAGGTTTTTGGTGACAAAAAAACTCAACATCGCTAGGAAAGACTTATACCAAAAGTTGAAGCACAACTAGAGGAACAATCTTTACTTTTGGACCCCGACCAAAAAATGGCCGGATTAGCCTGAAAACGGCCAAACCAGTGAAGGTTTTATGACCAAAATTTCTTGATCGTGCTAGGTTGGGTTTTCAAGGGAAAGTGCTAAGGAGGAAGAAGGCTACCTTTTGCAAGGAATATCCCGGCCTAGGTTGGTGGGGAAGATTTTTCGACCGGTGGCTTGCCTTACAGCGACAGGGCGAAGTCGAAATCTCGTCAGGAAAACAAGGAGGCATTGTGCGTCTTTTTTGTGAGAGAGAGGAGAGAAAATCAAGGAGAAAGGAGAGAAAATCGAGGTGAGCGAAGAGTGAAGAGAAAGTGAGGAGAGAGAAACTGTCGTGAGTTTAAATAATTCGACTTTTCCCAAAACTTATGGTTGTGGCACTGCACTTTCGTTAACCGTAACTTCTTTGTTTTAACTCCGCTCAACACGTGGTACGTGTCTACAAGCTCGTGAGAGCAAGCTTTATGTAGTTGAGCGAATAAAATTCCAAAAACCAGTTCCGAACAAAAAATGAACCCTAAACCACTTTTTTTTTAAAACCCTAGGGACAAAACCATCCAATTTTGTTAAAATTCGAAAATTAAAACTAAAATTGAAATCGGGACAGGATGTTACACACATCATTCTGCCTAAGTTGAATGAATTCATAAAACTTAAGTACACATACTAACCGTTAATGCCCCACGTTGTAGGAGTCACTAGACTAGATGTTTTAGTGTCACACAATAATTTTTCGTGATTGTGCGTTTGTGGGAAGGCAAATTAACGAGGATTCTTCTATTGAGCTAGAACATATAGGCTTTAAATCCATGAAGGTTACGTGCAAAGGAATTAAGAAGACATTGCATGGAATTTTTCTTCTTCTAGTGTAACAAAAAGCTTATAAGAGGCTTTGAAAAGATTTACTACTCTCTTGACCTTAAGCCGGAAATTTGGAAAGCATAGTTGATAGGTGTGATTGGGTGTTAAGAAGAGAAGATCTCAATCGAGTAGGTATAGAATGTCAACCTATTTTCCTCATATAATTCATGCGCAGTGACTTTATTTTCATTTTATTTTATTGTGAATCAATGAGAAAAAGCAAACTGCAAAAGAATAAAAATCTATATAACAACAATATCAAATTTCTCGTGCGTTGACAAAAACAACTTCAAAACAATTTTTTTTAAATTTTTCAACAAACAGAAGAAAAATCCATTTATTTATTTTTTAAATTAGGATTTTTTTTTGTTTTTGCCAAAAAAAATTAGGAAATTAGGTTGCTGAAGAAAAATGCTTGGTTGTAGGTAGATGATAATATAATTATTTTATTGTTCTTTGATGATATTTATACAATATTCAGTACGGTGTACAACTGGTTTTGTTCTGTTCTTACTGAAAATAATGATTCGTAAAGTATGTCCCTTCCTCCATAGCATATGATAAAAGCGATCGATCATAATATATATATATATATATATATACACACACACCATCAATCAAGTATCATTTTAGGATATGAGTTTTTGAGAGAGAGAGAGAGAGAGAGAGAGAGAGAGAGAGAGAGAGAGAGAGATGTATGTATATTCACTGCCATGCAGTACAAGTAAATGGATATGGATGATGACAGTGACAAAAATTAATAGATCATCCAAAATAGTTTGCTACCATAGAGAAAGGAACTAAGCAAAGTCCTCTTTTCTTCAGGTCTGTGCTGTCATTTTCCCTCCCAATAAAGCCCAATTCATTTCTCTCATCTACCAGCCCAGAAGTACTTCCTTTCTCCTATAACAGCAAAATTTCAAAACACAATCAGGTAGATATGTCTCCAACCAAAAAATTAATAACCCATTGTTTCCAACCAAAAAAAGAAGAAGAAGAAAGTAAAAGACAATGAAAAAAGAAAAGAATGGTAAAAATTAATTGCTGTTTTACCGTATAAGATATGTCTGTGTTATTGTTTTGCTGTGTTGGTCTCACATCTGACTGGTTTAGATTAAAAACCTATTGACAAGAGCAAAATGAAAATTAATTTAGTCTTTAAAAGGCTGAATATAAATTAAAGTTTTCTTTTGGTAAGCATAAATTAAACATTTGACTTGAAATTAACAAGATTAAAAAAGCATTAGACCAACAAAAAAGAAGAAGAATTAATTAGGAATTAGGATCCTCACTTTGGGACTATTTACCGGAGAGCTAGCCGTATCCTCCAAAGCATCATCAAGCAAATCTTCTTTCGTTTTTCTCCTGTCGAATTCGAAACTCGATCTATTATCAAACCCTAAAACTTCTCCATTAATAGCACTCAACTTTCTGGTAACCGCAGAAGCAGCATCGGAGATTATGGAAGAGTTTTCATAACCATATGAGGAGAAGGAACTGCGTTCACCATCATCCCCATCATCATTATTGCTTGTCAAGAAATCTTCCAAGTACATAGTCCAACTACTCTCCTCAGGGGACTCATGAGAAGTGGCTCTTGTATTACCAGAAGACAGAGATTTTCTCATCATAGAGTTCATAGAGTGATGATCTTCCATCTGTGTAGTAGGGTTTTGAATCTAGAAGATGATGATGAAAATAGGAAAATATATACAGCAAGTATTGTTGGGGAATTCAAGAAAACAAGTCTTGAGAAGAGTAGCTATATATAGTAGAGTAAGTAGAGAACAAAGGGAAATTATATATAGCCTTGGAATCTTGATGTAGGGACCATATAATAAGAGGGAGTAGGAGAAAAATTTGGCTGCAGCAACTGCCTCTGAGAGAGAGGGTTTGACCTTTGTGGTGTAAGGTTAGATATACACCAACAGAGATTTTGCCAAATTTTTCCTGGGGTGGACTTACCTTTCCACTAAATTTGTGTTGAATGAGTCACTTAAATTATATGTAGTCACAGAAGACTTTGGACTAGTTCTTTGCTCATTTTATTATATCTCAGCAGAGCAGGAGAAGTTATTTGTATATTTAAACAGTTTGATAAACTGTAGTAGTTATCTAATCATTCTCTTTCTACAGACGATATGCCCCACCATCAACAATTTTAATAATGATTTGAAGATGACAGTCCATGAAAGTGGGATTAGTGTCGACAATAATCCCATATATCACATTATAATTCTTAATTGTGTTATGTGGAAATGTCGCACTATTAGCAAATTGACAATATCAACAAAATATTGATACTTTATTTAAGTCATCTCAAGATTGTTTGGACTGTTTGCTCTGGAAATAATGAGAATATATTGACAATATATCGAGACGACACCGCTATGATGAAACTATTTGTAAAGTATTACTATTTGAAAATTTTACTATGATAATAATGGTATTGGATAATATTTCATAAAAGAAAATCTAAAATTAAAACTTTCAGAGCCTTTGATATTAATATAATTGCATCGAATCATTGTCGCCTCATCAGGTGGGTAGCTTGATGCCAAGAAATAATTAACAACTTTTGCAGGCTGCCCAATATCTCGCGAGAAGAGAAGAGAGCAATGTATTTGGGCACCATGTTAGGATTTGAACTTGTTTCTATATAGATCATCCGTTGAAAACTTGAAAGCATATATACACACCTCCCATCAATGGATAGAATAGAATGATGTATTCGATTGACTTAACCAGAAACAACTTAATTATATTAAAATAAATGTTCAAAATTGATTAGTCAATTTCATATTAAAATAATGTCTTTGGAAATTATATTAAAATAAATGTTCAAAATTACTGGATCTTACTTTGTTTAAGGCTTGATCTGTTCTCGGCCTTGTTTTGCTATGTGACTATGTCACATACACGCGCGAGTCCAATCATTATGTTCTTTCTTTTGGCCGATTGAACAAAAAGAGTTTAAGCATTTAAAAAAAAAGGAAAAAACTTTAAGTACATCAACTAGTCAAGTAGGATTGTCTCTCTAACCTCCACTTCTTAAGGATGGCAGAACAGTGCTTAGAGCGTCCTACATTGGAGGATGGAAGCTTTGTATTAGTCTTTCAAAGCTCTTGAAACTCTCCACCCATCGTCAATTGGTTATGAATTGAATGCTCATATAAAGCCCAATAAAACAGTAAAAAAATTAGATGAAGTGATCGTGATTATAGTTGAAATAAGATAGCAACTTCACACTCCCCCGTTTGCCCTTGAAATATTGAGATATATACCTTAAGAAATTCACTAATCAATTAAGAAGATCCAGTAATTTCCAAGAAAATCCTTTCATTCAAAGCACATGATGGCTCTCCAAAATTGTCTCCACCATGGGAGAAACCTTTGCCTAGGATAGTGAGTGGTGATCGATGTCACCGCCTGACCTAGACTTTGGTCCTTGTGTATGAAAACATTTAAACTGTCATTTGGTGATCTTCTAATCTTTAATTAATCCCATGTCTTTTAGCAACTTTTTGCCTAAACTATAAGAGCATTTCTAGTGAGAGGGGCTAGCCAGGGCAAGAGGCCCCCTAGGCCTTCAATCCCGTTTTCAGAGGCTAAGGGTTGTCAGGGCAAGCGTTGGACTCCACCAATCTGGGCAAGACCTAAGGCAAGACTTGTTTAGATTGCTGCCTGGACAAAATAACTTAATGCTGACGTCAGCTGTCACTGATCAGTAAATCGATCATTTTCCACTAACGACCCTTTGGCATGTCTTAGCCACTTTAATTTAAGCACTCATAATCTCTCTCTCCAATTTTATATTACATTGCATAAGCGAAACCATGTCTTAATGGTTGGTTAACCTATCATTATTGACTTTGCATCATTCTTATGACATTCTTTAGTTGGAGATTTTATGTAGATTTCTTTCAATAAAGAAAACAATATACTCTATTATATCTCTCAATCATGCCCCCATTAAAAGGGCTTAAACCTACCTTCTTCTCCTATTAGTTGATGGGTACCAATCAATTAATCCACAAAGGAATCTAATTAAGGCAGCACATTCGCTCTACATGTGCCACATTCACTTTCTAAGCATCAATCTATGAAGGCTTTAAATAGATTTATAAAGCATGATATATATAATTAACCAAAATTTGGGTGGTTCTTAGAGGCCCCCCCGTGAGAGGACAACAAATTTCCATATTAGTTTAACTTGTACAAAAATTTGAGGAGGTGACGGGTCTTTTTCCAATGACATGGAGAAGTGATGAATATTTGAGGGCACTACTTTGGTGGGTCCCAACAAACACATGATTCCTCGAGAAACTGTTCCTAAATTTAGGTCAAATGCTTTGTGTGTTCGTTTTCAAAGATGTTATCTAATCATGGATTCTTTTGTCATAGTTAGAGGAATGGTTCTTTCAGGGTTCGATCGTCATTGCTATACTTGGCTATAAAAAAAGCATACATATACGAATGAAATGGCACATGGGCATTCATGCACGTGTGCCCTACCAGTTGCTTTGCACATGCCACCACATGCGTGTTTGGTTTGGCCACGCAGACAAAATGAGTCACCAAACCAAACTTTATATTATGTTTGTTTGTTCCAAGTTCATCTCTAGAAAAAGGATATTTTCAGAAGAAAAAAACAAGAGAAGAAGCTGAAATTTTGGATTTGATCTGTTTCAGGTTACGTGAGGAGTAAAACTGAGTTATTTACACTGATACCCTTTTATGACATTTTCACAAAATCTGAGATTTCGAAAATTATACTAATATTCAAAAATTTATTCAAATGACAAAATTAACCTTAACGACTAGACCTCAGGTGTATTTGTCATGTGAAGACTTACCATTACCTTTATAGGTGAGCCGTGTAAATATATGTTGGACATATAATTGTGTTAATTTTATGAAAAGACAGGAATGATGCGTCACTAGCACATGAACATGGTTGATCACATGCTTGTCCCAGCATTGGCAGTGGCAGGGAGTGGTTAATTTATTGGATGCCCTTCAAGTTGAACCAAATGTTGGCTTTTCTGTACTGGAAAACCAATTGTCTGATAATTTCATATGTTCCCTATAATAAATATATCTATCTATGGCTGTACTATATATTGTCAGTGGCGGAGCCAGGAATCTTACCACAAGGGGTCTTAGTGTAAAAGTCCAAATAAAAATTTAGTGGCAGCAACAAGGGAGGAGATGGAGTTGAGGGTTAGAAGAGAAAACAAAAGAATTTTGAGGTTGATAATGGAGGAATCGCTGCTGTGAAGGACATACGCTAGGCTTTTTATTTTTATTTTTTGATGTTTCAGACCTGGGCCAAAACGACGTCGTTTTGGCTTTAAATCATTTATTTATTAAAAATTCTTTGGGCCAACGACGACGTATGTCCCAGTTTTGCCCAGTGTTAAAAAAAAAAAAAAAAAAAAAAAAAAAAAAAAAAAAACCCCGCGCGCAACAAACCCTCCCTTCTTCTTCTCCAGCTGCAAACCTTCCTTCTTTCAGTCATTTCGTCGACCACTTGGTGTGCAGCTCCAAGAGGTCGCACCAGCAGCTTCAAGGGATGTCTAAGCTGATTTCCATGGCTTTCAAAAGGTCGTGCAACCCCACTGACCCCACTGTGGCTCCGCGACTGTATATAGTGGCATGCATTCTTTCAATTTATGGAAACTAATTATGGCCAAGAATTTGCCCTAACACTCACCTTCACAATGGTTGGTTTTGTTGATTTCCTTTCCTTGGATTTTCTCATCTTTTCAGTTTCCGAATTTCCTTCATTTGAGAAAGAGAGAGGGGAGTGAGAGAAATGAGCAAAGGCTGGCAGCAGGTGACGCTAGCTAGCGGTGGTGGGCTGGAGTCGGGGGTTGTGCTGGGTTTAGTGAATTTTTTTTATTTTATACAAACGATAGTCTAAATTACAAAGTGAGGGGGGTTTCTCACTCATAAACTACCATAGTGCTATGAGAGTTCGAACCTAAGACAATTGGTAAGCAAATCCATGCATTTTTCCACTAAGCCTGTTGGCCTTTCTCTTTTTAGACTTTAAGGTTTACTTTTATTTGGAAGGGTATATTTGGGTCTTTCATTGTAAAAACGTGACGCAAGATGTTCTTAGATATTTGTTATGTTTAAATAAAAAAACTCAGATGTATAATAAGTCTAAATGTCAGTGATTAATTATTTGAAGAGGAATAAGAATAACTAGGAATGACAACGAACCAGTTTAAGGCCGGGTGTGGCAATACCATCCCTGTCCCCGCTCCCGATCGCCCCCAATATCATACTCTTAAGTAAACAAACAATAATAAGCCACATGTTACATTCAGCATGAAGCTTTTCACGTCTCATAACATTCTTACCTGGCCTCTTTCCTGAAATGGAGCCTATTCAGATGAATGCTTGTTCAGTAGCAACAGTGGACACACAAGCTGGTCACACAGCCAACTACTTATGGACCATATTACCCTACTACATGGCCGAAGCTGATGTAGTCCACCACGGTAGGCTGGACGAAAGTTCATCAATCTACGCCTCTAATAACGATAATTAGAAATACGCGTAGATTTAGGGGATCGAACCAATGCAACCTTACTGCAGCCTGCGCTCTCAGCCAGTAGTTTAAACATCTCGGATTCGCACAAGTGCGAAAATATCCATAAATAATCATGATGCGTGCACATACTCATTTAGTGAATCTCAAATTACAATACCCTCTAATCTCAGGGTTATCTCCAAAATCATAGTAATCTCAGTTCTCATGACAGCAAAAGTATCATGCATGCTGTGCCAATTTTAAAAGCGCATACAAATCATGAATACACTTAACCGTAAGAAACTAAGGAAAAGGTCAAGGGAAAGCTCTAGACCTCAAGTTCATTACGTCTTTGAGATAGAGTCCAAAGTGGACAAGTCTAATCAACAAGCCATGCTTGTTAGGGCATGGGATGGGAGTACAATTTCATCAGTTTATCATCTTTCTATACTGTCAAGAAACGAAATAAAAAATCAATGTAAATCAAATAACCAATTTGATCAAGACAAATCAAACAATAAACAATCATGTATCATACATATAAGGTTGTAAGGAAAATCCAAGTTAGAGGTATGTCGAGTCCCCCTACCTGGATTACAAGCAGACAATCCAAACAAGTTTTCCAAATTCACAGCAGCAGCAGCAGCACCACCACCACCACCATTTCAAGAGATCAAATCACGAGCCGTATAAACCACGAAGAATGCTAAATATTAGTCACAAATCTTCACAACTTTAGAGCATACCATTTCCCTAGAGCAACTGTAGCTTCATTTAAGCCATAGGAAGACTTAAAACCTAGAGGTATGATAAAGACAATTTCATAAAGTGTTGAATGCTAAAGTGAAAGTCTTCTTTAAACATGTGCCAACTATCGAATACAACTCTATTCAAGTTAAATTAGTAGGGCTAAAAATATTCTTGGCAGGTTTACTTTAACATACTCAAAATTCAAAACCTATGGAGTTATAGAATTGGGCCAAAACCATATTTAAAAACAAGAGGTGCTGTGGGTTCGCTGATTTTCAGCTGCGCTACTGTATTTTGTAAGTCCATGAAAATGTCACACTTAAGTTAAATCAGTCAAAAATTTACAGGTTCAAACAAAACATGTGAAACTATAAGGGCCTGTTCAAAAATTTTGAGTTCCCTAAGGGCCTTGTTTTTAAGAAAACATGTGAAAATTTCAGTTCATGTCCAATTGTCTTTCAACCTTGTAGTTGGAAAAAAAAAATTTTAAAATATAACGGACTGAAATTCCATGTAACTCGAAGTAACGGAAGTCTGAAAACATATTCAAAACTGGTTATGCTGCAGAGCATACTGCAGAATTCATGCAGCATAGTCTTTATGTCTGAAATTACACCAAAGTATTTGAGACAATCTCTGACATGTCCAATTTGATGCATCAAAAGCTTAGGATAAAACTCAGAGCACAACTCAGAAGACAAAAACAGAGAAAACCAGTTATACACCCACCAATGTGTCTTTAAGACATTTCTTCAAACACTTGGTGCTTACTATTTAAAACAGATCCTATGGAGATTATGGGTGAACTAAATGGCTCAAAAGATCTTCAAACACACATTTTCAGAGTACCGACTTTATAAAAATCCCCAAGGTTTTGAGTTTATACCTCAATTTCTCAAAAATAAAAAGTGATAGATCGGTCCTCCTTCTTATGCATCTCCATCAATAAAGAAGGAGGGATTATGTTGCTGCATATTTGAAAAGAAGTGAGTTGGTAATCAGTCTAAACTACCAGAACATGATTAAAAGGAACTCTCAAAGTTTATAATTGATCTCACCCACCATTATTTGAGTCTGTAGTATTATTTATTACTAGCCCTTCGCATGTGACAATTGGTTTTCTTTTTTATTTTATTTTTAGAATTAAGAAAAGATAACATGGGTAGTTATGTTCTATAAAAGTAGAACATATTATTTGATTTTGTTTTTATTATTATTTTTTTAATATGAAAAAATGTGAATTTACCATATTATCCTCATTTAATTAATAATTTCAATTTTTAATGTTTGAATTAACCAATGACATTTTCTGGTATTTTGAATGTTTCACCATTCTCTACCTTTTGCTTTATATACATAGATTATTTTGTTTTCAAATTTTGTACTTGAACTTTGACTCGCATTTTAATTGAGTACCCAAGTTATTATGTGTGTCAATTTAGTATTTGGTTAATATGTATGGTCGGTTCATGAGTGACTGACAATAAGGAGTTAGACAAAATAACTAACAAAGAGGGATCGATGTGAGATTATTATGTTACGAATTCATGAGGAATTAGAGACCAAGTTGTACTGAACGTGCATACTCCACTTGTTTTGTTGTATGAATTAACGAATTGAGTATACATGAAGATAATCCAGACACCATGCATCATATCATTCAAATGTTATCACTTATTTTAATTCGTAATTTGATATGTGATTTTGATGTTGCAAATTTAGAGGAAAATATAATAAAATCTAACTAGACATCGACTTCCCTAATTAATTTCTTCCATTTAATTAATTTTCCACTTAAATTAGGTCTTACAATTATCAATTTTGCACCTGATGCCCGCACTCTCATAAAGATATATAGAGAAGGAACTGAATGAGTGACAGCAAACCCTTTGCTCCAAAACCCTAACCAATCAGAGTAAAGCATTCAGCCACGTCAGCTTTCCACGTGGGCATAATTAGCTTCCATACCTGGCAGTGTCCCCGGAAGTCCCGTCCCCACATCACAAAACCTAAACCTCCTTGAAAGCCCCAAAACAGATCTACACAGTTTCACTCACCATCATCATCTCCAAGCATTGCATGTCCTTCACCCTAATCAGTTCTTGCATATTTTTCAGACCCGCTTCATAAAGTAAATTTAAAAAAAAAAGTCCAGATATATAATCGTATGGGTTAGTTTGACATGGTGGTTTTTTTGGTGTATGCATGTCACAGCTGAAAATGGCAGGAAGAGGAATGACCAGCCACACTCATGTTTCGACTGAAGCAAAAGATTATCTAACAAACATGAATTATTCTGAGAATTTTGATGGAGAAACATCAAATCATGAGCTCCAACATGTAGAGAAGTAAGTTCTTTGCAAAGATCTAGAGATTCAACCGGCGTATATATATATAGATATGCTTGTCTTTCTCTTGGTGATCACTTTTCTATCGAGGGTTTTTTTTTTATTATTTACAATTTTTTGTGGTTTTACTTTGACGTTATCATCATCATGAATCTAATGGCTTTAGGGTTTTTTTTTTCTTCAGATTCGTGGGAGTCTCCGCAGCTTCAGGTAGTGCGATTAACAAGATACAACTTTACTGTGAATCAGGGGTAGAGCTCTGGGTTGATTTAAAAGGTAATTAAGTAAAATTAACAAAAAAGTTAAAAAACAAACCTAACCAAAAAAAAAAAAAAAAAAAAAAAAAAAAAAAAAGGGGCTTATGTGACTTGAACTAAATTTTATGATTTTTATATATTTGTGGGCAATTTTTATTTTTATTTATTTTGCTTTGTTTTTGTAATTAGGATTATCGGATATGAAGAATTTGAGTCTCATAACTTATATGTCTATCATCATCTTGATCTACTTTGATTTCGTGTCATGTTGACCTAGTTCAATCTTAATTCTGATGGACATTCGAGTTTTATTTGACTTTTTCATTAAACTCAATCTTTCATCGTTTTGGCTAATTTTCAGATGGATAGCAACCCACAATACAATTCAGATCATATGCAAATGCCTCGACTCACTGCGTCCCCTCAAGGCTCCTCACCACAAGTGCCCCTCTCAGATTTGGGGTCACAAACACTTGGTGGGATCAATAATAAAAGAGCCAGTGACCTGTTAATTTCACTGTCCGTAGGTACAGAAATTAACCGACTTAGAATCTCCGAGCTTGCTTCGAAGGCAATGGAGGAGCTCGTAAAATTGGCTTTTGCTAGAGAGCCTCTATGGAAAGTTGACACAGCGAGCAACACGGAGATTCTTAGTGATATTGAGTACATGAGGGAGTTTGGGGATATGAGTGCCACATTAATGGAGATAGTGAAAATGGTTGAGGTTAGAGAATCTCAGTCTCTGCCAAGCTTGGACATGAACAATTCTGAATTTTCAATAGGAAGTCAATATAAGCCAAAAGAACTTGGACCAAAACCTGTTAGTTCCGAAGCTTCAAGAGAAATTCGTTTGGTCAGAATGAATCCTTCAAGCATTGTTCAACTGCTAATGAATTTGGTATGTCCTCTTCTGATTAATTTATTTAATCTTTTGTTTTCCTCTGTAAACAAGTTTAAAAAAACCGCAAAATATTATTGATTGTTTATACTTTGTTTGATCATCAGAGGCAGTGGTCACAAGCTTTTTCTAATATAGTCTCTAGAGCAGCGATAGTGGGAGTTTTATCATCCACAGGAGTGCAAGGAAACTACGATGGTACTCTTCAAGTGGTAATTATTTTACCTTACTAAAATTTTGTATGGAAGGGTTTCAAAGCAAGACAACTCCAAGCTTTTTTTGCATGCACATATATATTTCTAAATGGGAGGAAGTTTTATATAAATGATGCTTTCATCTTTTTTGGATGCATTAAATATAACATGTCTTTGATTTTAGCATAACGAAATTCGATTACAACTGATTAAAGGTTATGTTTCGCCATCAGCGAGAATTACTATGAAGAAAGTACCATATATAACATTGAATCTATATATAACCATGTGTTTGTAATGAATCTCATAGGATACAAGTATGACATTAGCTTCAGATGATAATGTACAAGTGAAAGTTATCATTCTTAGGTTTCCATACATAATGGGTTGTTAAATTTCAAAAGCCCTTCAAAATACTCTATTTTTCATCTTTCTTTATTTAGTTTGCACAGATTTTGGATTGTTACGTCGGTATTGATGCGACAAAATGCATTTATAGTCAATTTCTCATAAACACAATTGTCCACGTGTGATGACTATATATGACCTATTGATTGGTTTGAGATTCACTGTGAGACCCACACTAATTGACGGCGCATGCTAGCATTCCTCTTATATAATGCTTCAGAATAAAACTAATATTCTCAAGTTATTATTGTTGTTTCTAGATGACAGCTGAATTTCATGCCCCTACACCATTAGTCCCAACTAGAGAAAGTTATTTTGCAAGGTATTGCAAAAAGCTGGGCAGCGACACGTGGGCAGTTGTGGATGTTTCCTTGGAAAAATTGTTTCAATTCCCATCAAGAAACTTTCGAAGACAACCATCAGGCTGTTTGATTCAAGAGATGCCAGATGGATGGTCTAATGTATGTGTGTGTTTGTTAATTAAGTAGACAAGATTCTCAGTTTAAATTAGCATGGTAGAGAAAAGCTTAAACAATATAATGGAGTTCCTTTTCATATATGCTAGGTTATATGGGTGGAACATGTGGAAGTAGACAATTCACTTGTTCACAATATGTTGGAGCCGCTGGTCAGTTCTGGTTTTGCATTTTGCGCAAAGCGTTGGGTTGCTATGTTGATTCGACAATGTCAATGGCTGGAAACTACAATGGCTAGAAGGACTAGTTTTTCAACTGATGGAGGTATAATTAAATTCAAATTAATTTGTTCCTTGCAGCTTGATAAATTAAGTAACTGAGATGATCTTTCCCTTTGATAAGGGTTTATATCGCAACAGGGAAGGAGAAGCCTGTTAAAGCTTTCGGAGAGGATGGTGAGAAGCTTCTTTAGTGAAAATATCAGTGCTTGTTCTGAAAACAAATGGATGTCACTACCATGGCCAACATCAGGTGCTGAAAATACAAGGATCTCAATGAAGAGTAGCACAGGTGACCCTGGAAGGCCTCCAGGTACTACAATAGTGTTTGCTACTTCCATATACCATCCATTCTCGAGAAAAAAAGTATTCAGTTTTCTACGGGACGAGAAATGTCGAAGCGAGGTATGTACAGTACTTAACTTTGAATCAATGGCGGTTTGGAAAAATGAGCATAAGTCTATCGATATGGCCAAATCAAAGAGGGATAAAGATCATTACTGGATCCCATGTGAAAACTAGGAGTAGTTGAGTTTTGTAATTTGAAAAATTACTGTGCAATGGTAACACCATGTGACATAGTAATCTCTAAAATCTTAGGCTCTAAATTCTAACACGTATACGTAAATAGCATTCATTTTTAACCTATACATAATCTTTCCATATATAAACGTCTATTCCAAAGAGATCATCATTCCAATGTACTTACTTGTGTATAATACAGTGGTGGGATATGCTTGCATTTCAACATGAATTCCATGAATATGCCTATTTCACTATTGGAGAAAATCCGGGAAATCGTGTCTCCATATTGCGATCCATGAATGTGAGTTGCATGTACCCTGTTTTTTTGTTTCATTTTCCCTTTTGAAGATTCAACATATTGTTAGCCTGACTTCAACTTGTGTTAACACAACTGCTTGATTTAATTTGTAGGACAAAACGAACGAGGTTGAAATATTTTACTTGCAAGCCAGTTATACAGACTCAATGGAGTCGTATGTTGTTTATGCACCGATAGACGCATATGCCATAACTGACCTCATCAATGGTGGAAACACAGATTATGTGGCTATCTTGCCCTCAGGGTTTTCTATCTTTCCTGACAAGCCAATGCACCAGGACGAAACTGGAGGAAGTCTTTTGACTATTGCCTTCCACATTGCTCTTGGAGCATCAACTGAAGAACATATGTCTCCTCATCAACATCTCAACGTTGTACATAGAATTCTTGAAACAACCGTGAGTTCAATCAAGGAGGGTTTAGAATTTATGATCTAGAAGTCGTTTAAGCCAGTAAGTTATTCATCTGGTGCAGTTATAAATTTGCCACCAGTGCCTAAGGTCATGTGCATGGTAGAAATTTGAAAAACCTTCCAATGCTATATGCTTGTATATAGTTGAATCTACTGTATATTACCCATATTTTAGGGGTTTTCTGACTGATTCTTCAAGGTCTCATGCTCGGTTTTTAGAAATTGATTGTCCAGTGAAAACTAGAATTTTTTAGTTTGATGCATACATAGATACTCACTAAGATAATTTCATAGCTAATAAAGACTGACATTATTTATACTACATTTATGGACACATCGATCTCCCATGTCGCTATTAGAGATGTTGTCCACAATGTAATTCACAATTATGGTGGCTTACTATGATTTCAAGTGCGACAATAAACTTATTATTTAGCTCTTGGAAAGTGGAAGTTGCACAACTAATATATCATTCCAATCTTTGCAAATTCCTCTATAACCATAACCACTAATAAAAAATAATGGGAAGAGATACTAAATAAGAAAAATGGGGGACAAGGGCTAGCATTAGTATTCAAACTCTTTTGGATTTGCTTGATTGGAAAATGGAGTGGAAGTATATGTTATACAAACAATTTGGGATGGGGGAACGGTGGGGGAAGAGGGATGTTGAAGAAATGGTATACAAAATGAAAGCTTAAAACTAAAACTTCAAAATAATTATGAGTAGGTTTTTCTTCTTCATGTTTTTGTTTCGTAAATTGTCTTCTTTTCTCGCTCTCCTTTCTATCACCCTCTATCCACCATCTTTTTTCTGTCTTTTCTCTTATCTATACACTTTCGATTTCTCTAGCAGAAAAAACCAATTTTAAAAAAATGGTTATATTCTTACTTTCCAATGTATCAAGGAAAACTTATCTATTCTGTGATTTTTGTATTGCAAATTTGCAAAGAAATTTAACACACACACACACACACAAAAAGTAACTAGACCTAAAAGTTTTGGGACTGTCCAAATTAGATAACTTGTTTACTAATATGGAGGGCCAAATTTATTCCATTTTAAACAACTAATTAATTATTTATCCAAGTAAATTAGGTCTCACGAGATTCGTCGCCTTTTCTGCTTAGACTATCACTTGACCACATTCATTTTGATCCCAAGGCCCGCACTCTCATAAGAGTGACATCACACTCTTGCTCCAAACCTTTAACCAATCATAGAACAGCATTCAGCCACGTCGCTTTTCACTGGGTTTTTTTTTTGGGTCAAAACTGGGTTACTACTATAAGTACCTTCCAAGTTTCTTTCTCCTGGCAGTGTCCGAAGAAGTCCTGCACCTTCCAAACCCTTGCCCTAAACCTCCTTGAAATCCCCGACACACGCCTCCAGTTTCACACTCACTTATCATCTCCAAGTAGTACATTATCCTCTGCCCTAGTCAATTCTTGCATATATTTCAGACCAACTTTACAAAGTAAATTTCTATGTTTGCAAGTTTAATTTTTTTCAGATTTAAAATCCTTGATTATAATGTGACATGGTGTTTTGGTGTGCATATGTTTTCAGCTGAAAATGGCTGGAAGAAGGAAGACCAAGCGCAGTCGTACTTCGAGCAGTGGAGTTGATGACCATCTCAAGAACGTGAATGATTCTGAGAATTTTGTAGGACCAACAACTAATGATCCTGAGATCCAAAGGGTTTTCAAGTAAGTTTCTTTGTATATATATGGACACATGCATTGCTGTCTTTCTCTTGATGATCACTTCTCTAAGTATATTGTGAAGTTTTAGTCGATGTCGTCATCATTGTAATGGCTTTCACCGTTTTTGTTTTGGTTTTCGTTTGGGTTTTTTCAGATTAATGGAAGTGTGTGCACGATCAGCTGGGAAGATGACTAAGGTAGAGGGTTACTGCGAATCCGGGTTAGATCTATGGGTCGATTTAAAGGTAATCAAGAAAAATGTAATGGGGATTGTGACTGAACAGAAATACATGTTTTTTCATATATTTGTGGGCAGTATTTGTGTATCTTCTTTCTGTTTTTTTGGCTGGGATTATCGGATGTGAAGAATGTGGCAAATCTGAAAGTATCATCTTGATCTACTTGGAATTTGTGCCATGTTAACCTCACTCTTACTTCTCATGGATTTTGAGTTTCATTTTACTTTAAATTAATTAATTAATTAATTATATTTTTATAAAACTCGATATCTTCTTCCTTTTGGCTAATTTTCAGATAGATAGCAATCCAGAAAATGATTTAGATCACAGTGACTTGCCTCTACCCATTGCGTCCCCTCAAGGCTCTTCAACAAGTGTGCAACTCTCAGATTTGGGGCCACAACCAATTCTTGGAAGCAGTTTTGATACTGATGAAAGAGGCAGTGATCTACTCGTGTCAGCCTCTCCAGATGCTCATGTGAGCAAAATCAAAATCAGCGAACGAGCTTCTGACGCGATGGAAGAGCTTTTAAGCTTGGCTTTGGCTCAAGAGCCCCTTTGGCAAGTTGACAAGGAAAACAATACTGAAATGCTAAGTGATGTCGAGTATATGAAAATGGTTAAGGTGAGAGAATGTCAATCGCCCCCAACCTTGGAAGTTGACAACTCTCATGAACTTGAACCAGTTCTTGCAGTTAGTTCTGAATCTTCACGAGCAGTTGAGTACTTCGAAACTAGTCCTATCAGCATTATTGAACTTTTGATGGATTTGGTAGGTTCTCTTTTTATTGAACTTATTTAGTGTTTTTCTATGAAACACGTTTGATTGCTTAGATTTTGATTGATAATCAGGAGCAATGGTCACTTGCGTTTTCCAATATTGTCTCTAAAGCAACGCTAGAGGGAGTTTTGGCATCAACAGGAGTGGAAAGACACTACGATGGAACTCTCCAACTGGTAATATATATAAATTTAATGGGAAACCTATGCTTCATCCAACTATAAATTTTGTGTATATGCTTCATCCTCCTATCATGAGATAATTATGAAACATTAGCTTCAGATGTAAGATAACTTTTCAGTGAAATAATCCTACTTAGGGTTATTTAAGAGACTTGGTTGACATAATTTATAAAAGAATAAATCGTTCTTAAATGTTAACAAAATAGTCATTTCTCTTGTTGCTTTGCTAGTAATTAACACTTTCTAGGAACTACACTTTGTTGAATGTGGTCCATCCAAACTGGTTTCGTTTCCTTATTTGGTAGTGCAATAATTAATTTTCGATTGTAATATGTCGGTTACCATTCGACAAAGCGCATTAGAGTTTTGCTAAACGCAGTTGCCCACGCGTGCCGACTACGCACAATTTGGTGTGGGATCCACTGTGAGTGAGTCTCACACTAATTATGGCTGACACTAGCATTAATTCTTCTTATAATAACCATCGTACCATAAAGTTAATTATCAGGTTATTGTTGTTTCCAGATGACAGCTGAGTTTCATGCCCCAACACCACTTGTTCCAACAAGAGAAAGTTCTTTTGCAAGGTATTGTAAAAAGCTAGGCAGTGGCTTGTGGGGAGTTGTTGATGTGTCCCCGGAAACGTTGCCCCAATTTCCATCAAGAAACTTTCGAAGACGACCATCAGGCTGTTTGATTGAAGAAATGCCAAATGGATGCTCTAAGGTTACTAGATATACTTATGTTAATTAGCATGGTTGAGAAAAGCATAGTTAACTAATTATCAATAACTAATGCAATTAATTTTTCATATGCTAGGTTATATGGGTGGAACATGTGGTGGTGGATAACAGACTGGTTCATCATTTTTTTCAGCCGCTGGTCACTTCTGGTTTTGCATTCTGTGCAAAGCGTTGGGTTAACACTTTAATTCAGCATTTTCAATGGTCTGCAACTGTAAGGGCTCCAAACAGTCCCACCGATCGTGGCGGTAATTAATTAATTAAATCGCAATTAATTTGTTTCATGCATATTGATAAAATCAAGTGAACTATATTTGAAAATTTTCTTTTGATTACATGGATCGACTTGGATTTAGATGCACTAATCAAATAGCTAAGCTTTTCCCCCTGATTTTGATTAGTGATTATAGCACAACCTCAAAGAACATTCTTCTTGAAGTTTTCGGAGAGAATGGTAAAACGCTTTTTCATGGACATCAGTGCTTCAAGAGAGAACAAATGGATGCCATTTCCAGTGTCGGGTGCTGATATAATGATATCAACAAAGAGTAGCACAGATGACCATGGAAAGATTCTAGGTACCACAACTGTGTTCTCTACTTCCGTCCACCTTCCAGCCCCAAGTAAACAAGTATTTAGTTTACTTCGTGATGTCAAATTTCGGAGACAGGTATGTTTTCTGAATTTTGAATATGCAATGTTTTCTTAAAAAATAGAAAAAAGAAAAAAAAAGAGAAGCAAGCATGTAAGTAGCTCTTAAAGGGCACATAAATATTACGTTGGTGCCTAGGATTAGATTGGATAACTCATAACATTCAAGGTATGCTGAAGTAATAAATGAAGGCTGAGATGAATTTTTTTTCATTCTGTCGGGATTGTAAGGATAAATCTCATTCATGACTAATCAATCATCTACCTTCAACTTGACAAAATTTGAAAGCTTGATCGACTTCATTTCTTCATTCAACATACCTTGACTTTAGTGGGTTATCCAATCCAATCAAATCCGAGACACATATTTTAACTATAGTCCTTTCATTAACATCTATCAGAAAGACATCGATCATGTCTTCCATTTAACTTGTGTATATAAAACAGTGGGATATCTATGGACGCAATCATAGATTCGATGAGCGTGCTTATATAAGCAATGGTGACAATCCAGAAAATGGGGTTTCTATATTGCGAGCCATTAATGTGAGTTGAAGATAAATACCAGTTTTCTTTCCCTTACCCTTTTAAATACATTTAAGCTTAATATAGAATTGCTTGATTTTATTTGTGTAGGATGAAACAAAGAAGCTTAACGCATTGTACATGCAAGAGAGCTATACAGCATCGACAGGCTCATACATAGTTTATGCTCCCTTTGATTATGAGCATGCCGGGAACAAGTTGATGAAGGATGAATGCACAGACCATATAACTATCTTGCCCTCAGGGTTTTCTATCCTTCCTGACAGATCGATCCACCGGGATGAAACTGGTGGGAGTCTTTTGACCATTGCCTTCCACGTCGTTGCTGAATCACCAACTGATGAACATGAGCCTTCTAATCAACAAGGGCTCCTTATGCACAATATTATTGCAAAGACTGTGATGTCAATCAAGGAGGCCCTAGGACTCTCTATATGATCTACAAAGCAACGAATAAAACTATAAATGATTCAGCACAAGTTTATTGTAAGCACTTGAAATCATTGCAAGACGCCTCCCTTCAAATTGAGGAGGAGCTACTCCCCACAGCAAATGGGACTTTTGACAAGTGTCAAACTTCCATTTGTTTTGAGGAGTTGCTCGTACTCAATTATAATGGATGGAGTAAAAGCAAAAGTTGAGTATGCTTTAAGAAAATGTAAGGATTTTCAAACAAACTGTATGCGCATTTAATTTAACTTCTGAACAGTGTAGAGCATCAAGAGGGAATAACCAACTCTCTAGTGTCTAGAAATTTTCTTGGTGTTTGGTTGACAACATTCTGTCTTTATCTTATAAGCAAACATGCTAGTTTGAATGTGTCATTTTCTAGCTGTCTCAAACACCCAAATTTCAAACCATTTTTCTTTTTCTTTTTTCTTAGTTTGAATTTTATCTTTTAGCTTCCACCCACCTTCCCAAATTTCAAAACCATTTTTCTTTTTCTTTTGCTAGCTTCTCTGCTTGCTTGCTTCTGCCGCCTTTGTTGGGGTTGGGGCGGCCTTGGATGGCTGTGGTGGCGGTGTCACACCCCAATTTATTTTTTAATTTTTAATTTTTTTACATTGGGAGTGTGAGGTAAAAGAAAAACTAAAACTAAAAAAATTTAAATATCAAGAAACATGAAGATTGAACACAAACTTTTATTTAAACCAAAGTAATTTACATTGTAATTTTACAAGCAAAATAACAAGAAAGTAACAAACTTTCAACAAAACATTCGAAACTATCCACAACTCGTTCTTCTTATTTCATCGTCACAAACTAAACTTCATATTCAAAACCTGCAATAGATTCAATAAGGGGTGAGCATTACATACTCAGTAGCCTATGTCTTATATGATTAGTGAGATTTATAATGTACAATTGTGAAGTCTGGTTTAATATATATATATATATATATATTTGGAAATCAAATGTTTTTCTTATAAGTTAAAATTATGTTTAGATTGATTATGTATTTATATGGGTTATAGTTATATATATATATATATTAATCTGACCACATAGTTATTACTTTCATGACAAATTATCAGGAATAGTAATATTGTAAAAGAATACATACTTGTTTGATTTAGGTGATGCCACGTACAAAGATATTTACATAAGGAAAACTTACCACTCTAGTTTCTTCACAGGTGTAAACTTAGATGACTAAGCCTTTACCTAGATGACTAAGCTTTTGGTTAAAGCATGAGCTGCTGGCATTAGGAGAAGTGGGATAACCTAGGAAGTCAAGCAGATCATCAAACCTACACTCCACCAATCACAAACCATCAAGTTATCGCTTTTTACTACTATAAATAGGAAACCAATTCCCTTAACTTGTTGTAAACAACATGCATGGTAATGCATGATAGGAAGCAATAGAGTGAGGAAAGAAGAGGAGAAATATTAGAAAGTGTAGAACAAGAAGTTCGTTGAAGGAAATCGAGGTGTTTGTACTTACAATTGGGAGTTATACAATAGCTTTGGATTTGAGGTAGGGATTTTTCTTGGGGAAGCTTTACATAAATTGATTTAATTAAATATTGTGAATACTATATTATGCTTGGTAATATTATTTGATTATTGTCCTTGATATTGGGTGTTTACATATTGTCAATTACCATTATAATTTGATTAATATTGACAGGTTCATATGTTGTCGGTGGTGGTTGGTTCTTATATTGACAAAGAAATTATGGAAAAGAGGGTAATGGGAAGGTTCTTTTATGTAGTTGAGTCTGACTATTGTAGGGACCAAGTTCAGGTGAGCCCGTGTGTACAGTAGACTAGGAAATCGACGGTATAATTGTTGATTGGGTGATTTGGGCTTGGAGATCAATGGTTTAGATAAGATGACTAGCAAAAGGGGAATTATGAGATAATTGAAATGGGTGTTAGATTATATAATAGGGCATTTGGAATCACAGTGGTAAAATGCATGGTATGGGACATGCAGATTTGATTGCCCTATTATATAGATTAACGGGTTGGGTAGAATTTAAGTTCATTCATGCATTGTATAAATTGTACATTATAAATCTCACTAAACACATAAGACATAGGACCCCTACTGAGCATGTGATGCTCACCCCTTATTGAATCTATTGCAGGCTTTGAATATGAAGTTTAGTTTTTGCTGAGGAAACAAGAAGAACGGGTTGTGGATAGTTTGGAGTGTTTTGTTGAAAGTTTGTTACTTTCTTGTTATTTTGCTTGTAAAATTACAATGTAAATTACTTTGACTTAAATAAAAGTTTATGTTCAATCTTCGTGTTTCTTGATATTTAAATTCTTAGTTTTAGTTTTTCTTTTACCTCACACTCCCAAAAAAAAAATTTGGGTTGTGACAACAATTTATGCAATGCATGAATAAACTTCAATTTTTCCCCAACTCGTTAATCTATATAATAGGGCAAGCAAATCTACATATCCCATACCATGCATTTTACCACTGTGATTTCGAATGCCCCATTATATAAACTAACACCCATCTCAGTTATCCCATAATTCCCCTTTTGCTAGTCATCTTGTCTACACCATTGATCTCCAAGCCCAAATCACCTAATCGACAATTATATCGATGATTTCCTAATCTACTGTGTACACGTGCTCGCTTGAACTTGGTCTCTACAATGGTCAGACTCAACTACGCAAAAAAACCTTCCCATTACCCTCTTTTCCATAATTTTTTTATCAACCCAAGAATTCCAACCACCACCGATAACATCTGAACATGTCAATATTAATCAAATTATAATGATAATTGACAATATGTAAACACCCAATATCAAGAATAATAATCAAATAATATTACCAAGCATAATATGGTGTTCACAATATTTAATTAAATCAATTTATGTAAAGCTTCCCCAAGGAAAACCCCTACCTCAAATCCAAAGCTATTGTATAACTCCCAATTGCAAGTTCAAACACTTTGAGCTTCTCCAAAATCTCACCACACTTTAGTTCTCACTTTTTTTTTCTTTAATGCAACTTGAAGAACCTGTGATACAAGAACTCTTAGGTAGTGCTATTTATAGCAAGCTAGAGTCTGGGCAAAGATATAGATGAAAGCTTAATATTGTGCCACATAACCAGCCTATAGGTTGCTAGACTACTTGGGTGGCTTGAAAATAATCTGCCACCCCAAATAGCCTTGGCTTTGTAGAGTGCTTAGTGAGCACTTTCCAATTAAGTTTATATATATATATATATATATATATATATATATGTGTATATATAAGAATGCCTACTGTGCTTACACCTCATGCCAACATATCCCACCTCATGCTTTAATTGGTTTTGAGGACTCCATATTTGCAACACGTCAATCTTTAACAGAAAGCTTAGTAAGCAAACAAAAACCTTTCTAAATGCTTTTGTAAAGTTTGTTATATATATATAAAATAAAGCTGAAATGAATTGATATAGTTCAAGCCATGCAATAAAATTTGATAGGCTATATTAGTTAATAGCTAAATTCACGTAGCTTGCCATATAACTAATATATATATATATATATATATATTATCAATTATATAGTTTTAAAAACTAATAATTATAAATATTTAATTTTATGAAATATTAATATACATATTTAAAAATATGGGGTTTCACATGCCTTTAGTTAAGGATGTGGTGGCTAGCTGGGGGCGGAGAAGGGAACTGTTCTTGAGTGTTGGTTGGTTGGGGATGCAAGTTTGGACCAAAACACCTCTTAATAGATAACAAAAGTTAGAATAATTTGATGAAAATTAGAATTGTTCTTGAATTGCTATAATTATGAAAGTACAATGGCAAAATTGATGAAACTGAAATTATAGGGTCAAAAGTGGTTGAAGTGTCAAACTACAGGAACCAAAAGTGACTTTTAGAATTTGAAATATATTTCAGTTTTTAATTTTCGTTTTTACCTTTCCTATCATCTCTTCTCAATCCCATCTCTCGACTATCATTCTCTCTCTTTTTCTTCTATGTCCTAGTAAAAAAAAATTAAAATGGTTATCAAATATGGATTATGTTTTTTTTTCTTTTCAAAAGTTAAGAAATTTATTACATCTTTTTTAATTTTATTTTTCCTCTCTCCCTTTCCTCTCGACCATTCTTCTCCTTTCTTTTTCTTTTTGGACAGAGACCATTCTTCTTCCTTCTTCTTCGTCTCTCTTCTCTGCAAGTCCTTTTTTTATCGAAGTTTTTGGTCAAAAGTGTAAGCTTTTCCATCTCACACCTTTCTCTCTTTCTCTCCATCCATCCATCTCTTAAATTATATCAAGATCTGGGGGCTTGGGATGTCGGCGGCCTTGAGTTGGTATTTGGGTTCGGCGATGATGCTTGGGACGTCGAGGCTACATCCACCCCTCTCTCTTTGCTCTATGGATGTGAATAGTGGGATTGTAATATTGGGTTGTGTTTTGGTGGGGAAGGAAGTTGGGGGTTTGGTTTTCTTTTGCTGGAGGAGATAACTGGTGGGAAACCTGGGTGTTAGATTTTTTGTGGCTGTGGAGATGACAAAGTGTGGAGCTAAGGTTGGGGTTTTTTTTGCTTGGAGGGGAAGAAGATCTTCTGGGTCTGTAAAATAGGGAGGTGGGTTGGTGGGGTTTTGGGTTGAGATGGTAGTTTTTTTTCATTAGCAGCCGCCGCACCCTTTTTTTATTCCCTCTCTCTCTTCCATGGCTCCTCTATCTCTTCTTCCTCCTTTCTCCTTATTCTCGTCTTTTTTTTTTGGTATTGGGTCTGGATTTCTTGGTCTAGTTTTAAATTTAATTCTTGGTACTGTGTTTGTAAATCTGACCCGTTTGGTTTGGGCTCGATCTGTGTTTTGTCTCTTACAAATCTTTCATTTGAATGATTTTTGCTTAGTGACTCATGTTTTTTGTTTGACTGGTTGTAGAAATAAAATGCATGGTGGCAGATTGAATCTGTTTAAAAGGTAATTTAATGAGATTTCTTGTTCGTCTAATGAATTCACTATCTTTGCCAAAATCATAAATTTCTTTGGTTTTTTAGTGGGTATTTTGTATTTCTTTATTTTGAGGATTTATTTGTTTTTTATGTTTATGTAGGGCAGATGCGGTTAATAGATGCTCTCAGGGGAAGAGGCATGCCTTCCATGTATTCATAGTCTTGTAAGAGGTGAATTTCCAGATTCCATGGTCGGAAAAATATCTTCTTGGGGAGGTAAGAGTGACCGTTTAGCTGTTAGATTGTTACTCATTCTGTTTATGAATTAGTGTAGAGATAATCAAGCTATAAAAGCTCAGAGTCTCACTTCTAAATTGTAAATTGTAACATTGAAGAAATTCAGAGAAAGCTTTGTTCGATTCTCTCTGTTTGTGTGCTTACTTGTCTTTCATTTGTATCTTTCTCTTTGGTTATTAATTAGACTAATTGAATAATGCTAATTAAAATTACACAAAACCCAAAATAATGGAAATATCATTGCTTTCAACTAATAGAATAAGTGGCTCCAGTTTTTATCTATAACCCACCAACAAACCAACGGACGGGTTTAGTTGCTATGGAATAAGTCTATATCATTGATAGGTCTTAGAAATCATTCCCACCAAAGCTAAGATTAGTTTCTTAAGCCCTTAAGCCACCCCAACACTAACAACCAACATGGTTTTAGTAACTGTATAGTTGCTAAGGCCTTTAGCCATCAATTTTAGTTGGTTAGTGGGCTTAATACTTAGAAAGAAAATGGTGACTATAGCTCAATATTGTAGTAGTGCATGCATTGCCTGTCTTTCTCTTGATGATCACTTCTCTAGAAATCTTGTGAAGTTTTAGTTGATGTCGTCATCATTCTAATGGCTTTCACGGTTTTTGTTTTGGTTTTGGTTTTTTCAGAGTAATGGAAGTGTGTGCACGATCAGCTGGGAAGATTACTAAGGTAGAGGGTTACTGTGAATCCGGGTTAGATCTATGGGTCGATTTAAAGGTAATCAAGAAAAATGTAATGGGGATTGTGACTGAACAGAATTACATGTTTTTTTCATATATTTGTGGGCAATATTTGTACTTTCTTTTTTTTTTTTTTTTTTTGTTTTTGGGATTATCGGATGTGAAGAATGTGGAAACTATTATAGTATCATCTTGATCTACTTTGAATTTGTGCCATGTTAACCTTACTCTTACTTCTCATGGATTTTGAGTTTCATTGGACTTTAATTATTTTTTTATTTATATTTTTATAAAACTTAATATCTTCTTACTTTTGGCTACTTTTCAGATAGATAGCAATCCTGAAAATGATTTAGATCATAGTGACTTGCCTCAACCCACTGCGTCCCCTCAAGGCTTTTCAACAAGAGTGCAACTCACAGATTTGGGGTCACAACCAATTCTTGGAAGCAATTTTGATACCGATGAAAGAGGCAGTGGCCTACTCATGTCAGCCTCTCCAGATGCTGATGTGAGCACAATCAAAATCAGCGAACGAGCTTCTAACGCAATGGAAGAGCTTTCAAGCATGGCTTTTGCTCAAGAGCCTCTTTGGCAAGTTGACATGGCAAGCAATACTGAAATGCTAAGTGATGTCGAGTATATGAGAGTGGTTAAGGTGAGAGAATGTCAATCGCCCCCAAGCTTGGACGTTGACAACTCTCATGAACTTGAACCAGTTCTTGCAGTTTGTTCTGAATCTTCACGAGCAGTTGAGTACTTCGAAACGAGGCCTATCAGCATTATTGAACTTTTGATGGATTTGGTAGGTTCTCCTTTGATTAAACTTATTTAGTGTTTTTCTATGAAACAAGTTTGGAAAAGAAAAAAAAGGGTTTTTACCATATAAGGACAAATAGGCGGTAACCAAGCCAAAATGGTTCAGCCCCTCAAAAATTGGACAAACCGGTCCAGTGACAGAAGAGTTATTTCATGTAACTTTTGGACAGTGACTGGACCGGTTTGTCCAATTTTGGAGGGACTGGACCATTTTAACATTTTGTCTTGTGTGAAGGACATTTTTATCCTTTTCTATAAAGAAAAACGTGAGATATTATCAATTGATTGCTTATATTTTGATTGATAATCAGGAGCAATGGTCACTTGCTTTTTCCAATATTGTCTCTAAAGCAACGCTAGTGGGAGTTTTGGCATCGACAGGAGTGGAAAGACACTACGATGGAACTCTCCAACTGGTAATATATATAAATAGGAACCTATGTCTCATCCAACTATAAATGTTGTGTATTTGCTTCATCCTCCTATCATGAGATAATTATGACAAAGTGCATTATAGTTTTGCTAAGCGCAGTTGTCCACGCGTGGCGACTTCACACAATTTGATGTGGGATCCACAGTGAGTCCCACACTAATTATGGCTGACACTAGCATTAATTCTTCTTATAATAACCATCGTACCATAAAGTTAATTATCAGGTTATTGTTGTTTCCAGATGACAGCCGAGTTTCATGCCCCATCACCACTTGTTCCGACAAGAGAAAGTTCTTTTGCAAGGTATTGTAAAAAGCTAGGCAGTGGCTTATGGGGAGTTGTTGATGTGTCCCCGGAAACGTTGCCCCAATTTCCATCAAGTAACTTTCGAAGACGACCATCAGGCTGTTTGATTGAAGAAATGCCAAATGGATGCTCTAAGGTTACTAGACATACTTATGTTAATTAGCATGGTTGAGAAAAACGTAGTTAATTAATTATCAATAGCTAATGCAATTAATTTTTGTTCATATGTTAGGTTATATGGGTGGAACATGTGGTGGTGGATAACAGACTGGTTCATCATTTTTTTCAGCCGCTGGTCACTTCTGGTTTTGCATTCTGTGCAAAGCGTTGGGTTAACACTTTAATTCAGCATTTTCAATGGTCTGCAACTGTAAGGGTTCCAAACAGTCCCACCGATCGTGGCGGTAATTAATTAATTAAATCACAATTAATTTGTTTCATGCATCTTGATAAAATCAAGTGAACTATATTTGAAAATTTTCTTTTGATTACATGGATCAACTTGGATTTAGATGCACTAATTAAATAGCTAAGCTTTTTCCCCTTATTTTGATTAGTGATTATACCGCAACCGCAAAGAACATTCTTCTTGAAGTTTTCGGAGAGAATGGTAAAAAGCTTTTTCATGGACATCAGTGCTTCAAGAGAGAACAAATGGATGCCATTTCCCGTGTCGGGTGCTGATATAATGATATCAACAAAGAGTAGCACAGATGACCATGGGAAGATTCTAGGTACCACAACAGTGTTTGCTACTTCTGTCCACCTTCCAGTCCCAAGTAAACAAGTATTTAGTTTACTTCGTGATGTCAAATTTCGGAGACAGGTATGTTTTCTGAATTTTGAATATGCAATGTTTTCTTAAAAAAGAAAAAAAAAGAGGGGCATGCAAGTAGCTCTTAAAGCGTACATAAAGTTTACGTTGGTGCCTAGTATTAGATTGGATAATGCATAACATTCAAGGTATGCTGAAGTAATAAATGAAGGCTGAGATGAGAGTTTTTTCGTTCTTCTGGGATTGTAAGGATAAATCTCATTCATGACTAATCAATCTTACCTTCAACTTGACAAAATTTGAAGGTTTGCCTTCATAATTTCTTCATTCAACATACCTTGACTTTAGTGGGTTATCCAATCCAATCCAATCCTAGACACATATTTTAACTATAATCCTTTCATTAACATCTATCAGAAAGAGATCGATCATGTCTTCCATTTAACTTGTGTATATAAAACAGTGGGATATCTATGGACGCAATCATAGATTCGATGAACATGCTTATATAAGCAATGGCGACAGTCCAGAAAATGGGGTTTCTATATTGCGAGCCATTAATGTGAGTTGCAGATAAATTCTAGGTTTTTTCCCCTTCCCCTTCTAAATACATTTAAGCTTAATATAGAATTGCTTGATTTTATTTGTATAGGATGAAACAAAGAAGATCAAGGCATTGTACATGCAAGAGAGCTATGCAGCCTCGACAGGCTCATACATAGTTTATGCTCCCTTTGATTATAAGCAAGCCGAGAATAAGTTGATGAAGGATGAATGGCCAGACCACATACCTATCTTGCCCTCAGGGTTTTCTATCCTTCCTGACAGACCGATCCACCGGGACGAAACTGGTGGAAGTCTTTTGACCATTGCCTTCCACGTGGTTGCTAAATCGCCAACTGATGAACGTGAGCCTTCTAATCAACTAGGGTTCCTTATGCACAATATTATTGCGAAGACTGTGATGTCAATCAAGGAGGCCCTAGGATTCTCTATATGATGTACAAAGCAACTACTAAAACTACAAATGATTCAGCACAAGTTTATTGTAAGCACTTGAAATCATTGCAAGACAAGGCTCCTTCAAACTGGGGAGGAGCTCCTCTCCACAGCAAATGGGATTTTGACATGTGTCAAAACTCCATCTGTTTTGAAGAGGAGCACCCCCTCAATTTTAATGGGTGGAGGTAAAGCAAATGTTGAGTATGCTATAAGAAAATATAAGGATTTTCAAACAAATTGTACGCGCAATTAACTCCAAAAGTTAATTTACATGAGTCAGTTAACCAGTTTTGTCCTATTAGTTTATGTAATGTCTCTTATAAACTGATTACAAAAATCTTAATCAATAGGCTGAGACCTGTTCTCTCAAATTGTATTTCCAAGAATGAAGGAGCCTTTGCTCCGGGAAGATCAATCTCTGACATTATTCTTATTGCCCATGAGTATTCTCATAATTTTAAGAGGAAGATGGGTTCTAGAGGAGCTATGGCTATTAAACTTGATTTAGAAAAGGCCTATGACTTTTTTATTTTGGGTCGGAGTCAAGTTTCATTGATTGAAGGGAAATGTCAATTACAAGATAGTGGAACATAAAAATGAGTCCAAACAAATACAACAGTAAAAGCCGACTAGAAATAAAACTCGAATAGGCATAAAGTCTACAATTGGCATAAAGTCAGAACCCAAAATTGACTAAAGTTACAAAACTAGCATAAAGCTAAAGCCAACCAAAAGTAGAAACACCACCAAACGCCAAAGTACCGCTGCCGCTGCTTCCATGAAGACCGAGACATCGCCACCAAGACTAATGATGAGTGAAAGAACTGCAAACACACCAAAACACACAAAACAAATATAAAAACTACAAATCTGAAAATCCCTCGCAATACATAAATTGACCATTAAAGACTCAATAACTCCTACAAAAATGAAACTACCAAAGCACCAAGAGGGAAACAATAGCCAATCCAAGAACAAATCTAGGAAAACACTTCCCAAAGCCAAAGAAACCAACATCCTAAGCAAGGAAGGAGGTCGTAACAACCCAAGAATGGAAGGAGGTGGTGTAAGCACTCGAGCAAGAACTCTACACATCTTCCGAAGGGGACACAAAAAATTGTGTTTGGGATTAGTCGCTGCAGCCCATGAGGGTCGATAGATCCAAGAGGGAGATAGAGTCCTTGAAGAAGCCATATGAGGAGGGAGGAATTTAAAGGGAGCTGAGAAAGTAAAAATAAAAAGAAAGAAAGATAACAGAGATGGAATGAAGAGGAAGATGGAAATTGGAAATTGAAATTGAAAGGGGTACCCAAGGGGGAGGGAAGGAGGGGTAGTGGCCAGCTCCTCCCTTGCTGCATTGAAAGACTGAGGGTTTGAGAGAGGGTGCAGCGCTGGGGTTTTGTCACTCTTGGCCTATGACCTCCTTAACTGGGGTTACATTAGATGTTGCCTCACTCAATTTGGTTTCAATAATGCTTGGTGTGATCGAGTTATAAATTGTATTACTAGCACTTCCTTCTCTAATTTGATTAACGGCTCTTATCATGGTCATTTTAAAGCTTCTTGAGGTATAAGGCAAGGAGACCCTTTATCTTCTTATATATTTATCTTATGCATGGAACCGTTTATTAGACACTTTAACAATCTTGCCACGTCTCCCAAGAAACATGTTCATCCTCTGGTGGTTTTCGAATTTCTAATCTAGTTTTTGCAGATGACTGTCTTAGTTTTGCGAGAGCTACCTCGAAGGCTGCAAATAACATTAACAATTTACTCGAAAATTTCTCTAAAGTCTCAGGGCAAAAAATTAACTTACATAAATCCACGGTTTATTTCTGTGCTAATGTTTCTACTAGAGCCAGAACTATCCTTTCTAACCTTCTCCAGATCCAACATTAACTACTTTATGCCGGTATCCTGGCATTCACAACATCGTTTTTTGGAAAGATCCAGACAATGCTAAGCTCATATCGTGACCGTTGGACTTAGGCACGCTTTTGAGCGACTGCTCATGTCGATGTTGCATGGTATGTTCAAGGCCGTTTTGCAGCTGAACGGAATGCATATGTTGCTCGTGCAACTGCCTTTGAGTGTCGTCAGCTTAGAAGAGAGATGTTATTGTGCTCATGCATCTTCACCTTGTCCTATCGTAGGGATTCTATTTGAGCAAGAGGTTGGCTTCAGTAGTGCTTTGCCGAGTGGATGTCTCTGTCAATAACGTGTTGGCAGAGGAGCGGGGCTCGCTTCGATGTTGAGGTCGAAGATATGGCCATCGAGTGCAAGGGATGAAGGTGTATTCATCTTCACTTAGCAGAGATATGGGTCAATCAGTGGTGCTTCCCACAGATGGTGACAATCTGTTGGTGCTCAAAACTAGATGACCAGTAATCGGCCAAACTTAAAGATGAGGTATGATATGATCTGCTTTCGGTAGACACTTTACTTCTGCAGGCTGAGGGTGATCTATAAAGAGAAAGAGAAGAGCAGTATGTAAAACCTAACACACCGATGTGGTACCAGCTAAAGGCCATCTGATGCTAAAGTTAGTCGAAAGAGAGATGAGTTAGCTATTGACAAAGGGCATAAGTATCAAATACAAATAGCTGTTACCTTGTACCCTGGGTGCAAGATGCTCTATTTATAGAGGTTTTGGGTGTCCTCTTGGTGTGAGGTTTCGATGTGGGACTCGTGGGAGTAGCCTGGGAGGCTATCATGTATTGTAGCGAACATGCCATTGAGGAACCCGAGAGATTCCTGCAAGATACCTTCTGGGAGGCTGAATCGGCAAGAGGTGCCAAGGGCACCTATCGACTGTTTATTGTGAGCCTGTGCAATGGGCCAACCAACGTGCAATCGGTCGTGGGTGCCGAGGGAACCTACCGATTGCGAGGCTAGGCTTGCCAACATGGGCTACTGGGCCTTGCTTGGTGTTAGGTCTTTTCCACATGTCATGGCATGATAGGCTAGTCAGATATGGTACAAACACAAGTGAGAAGTCATTTGCATAGGTTTCTTTCTCATGTTAACCCTGAGTGTCCCCTGTGCAACAATCAAAGTGAAACTATTAATCAGCTATTCTTAAAGTGCTCTTTTGCTACAAGTATTTCGAGATGTACCTCAATCCTTCATGTAACTATTCAACGTGATTTTGATGGGATTACTCTATTAGAGGTAGGGGTGGACACGGTACGGTATTGAGCCTTTACCGCTACCAATACCGGAAATTTAAATCGGTATGGTACAATATGAGATTATGGTTTGCCAAAATTAGTACCGTATCGTACCATGCCAAAGCGGCATCGGTACTGTATTGGTACCATTTTGGTACCAAAATGATACAACTAAAAAATGAACCAATTCAATATTCAACACCAAAATAAGTGATGCCTAAGTTACAAATTCAAAAGTTCAACATATTCAATATCAAAATCCTAATCAACATATTCAATATCCAAATCCTAATCAACATATTCAATATCCAAATCAACCAAATCAATATTTATCCATCAATAGATTCATCAAATCCAAATGGTTAAAACTCACGCCTTATGGCTTACAAACCAAAATAGTTAAAATTATGCCTTATGGCTTACAAAAATACAAACACAATCCAAACATAAATGACAAAAACATAAAGTTATACTATTCGGTACAGTACGGTATTGACCGGTACCAAAATCTTGAAACTGCTACCATACCATACTCTATTGGTACGATATAGTACGGTACCGAATATCTCCCCATACCAAATGAAACGGTATGAAATCGGTATGGTACGGTGTGGCTAGGGTACGGTTTCGGTTTAAGATGTCCACCCTTTATGTGTTAATTAAATCGATAACCTGGATTACGATGGATTACTTGCATGTTAATATCTTACAATCTCAACAAATTGTGCCAATGTCATATACAAAACCCCATTTTAATCTAAAGATTCATGAGGGGATTTTAGTACTTCAACCTATCCACCATGACCACAAAACAATTAATACTCTCACTTTGTGTTAGAATAAGATCATTTACCATTAAACCACTTCATGTCTTCATTTCAACCAAATAAAGAACTTCGATAAAAATAAAACAAGTTTAGTCAATCCTAAGGGTGATTGATACAAAGGCAATGTACAAACTAAAAATACTTGGGCCAGAGCAAACTGATACAATCTATGATTGCAAACACCGTGCAAAAAATCAGCCGCCATTCATCATCTTGGAAGAATATCTGAAAACAAAAAATCATGGAAGGGTGGACCTGCGAGAAGGTGAATGCCAAATTTCATAAGGCATCTATACAAAATATAGCATAATGGTGCATACTTAATTATACACTGCGTATATACCAGTTCATAATCCTAGCCCATTGGTTCGTGCATACTTTTCTTTTTAAACAAAAAAGAAATAAAAAATCATTTTCAACTAGCAACAGGATGTGATGGTACAGATGAATTGATATATTGATCACAGTTCTTGTCGATGCTCTGAGAAGAAGTTCAAGTAAATCCTTGTAACTATTTCAGGGTTTTAGTAAAACAGGTTTTGATAAAGGATCCTAACCTTCTTGTCCGCCAAGAATATAAAACGGAACATGTGCAATCATCTTCGTTTCACCATCACTCCACTTGACAGTGCCTGGGTTCTGCATTTGTCCATGTGAAGGTCGTGAAGGACCCAATACAGACAAGGAAATTGCAGGTTCGGTCATTAAACCCAAATAATCACGAGCCCGCCGCCAGACCCTCACATCTGATATTCGAGACCGAGCCACCTGGGGAAACAAAACAATTTACTAGGCGTGAACTGATGAGGGAATTTTGGCAGCACATTATGCTACAAAGGAAATCCACCTCCTCCACTAAAACACATAGAACTTATGTGTAAGAAAATTGTAACAGAAAAACATACACTACTCTGATAAGGAAATAGCTAAGCTTATGAGCTTATGGTCAAAACTGAAAGTCAAACCTTGCCCAAGGAAACCCGTGCCCTAGGCAGCAATTCACGATGGTTGGTAGCCAGCTTTGCAATGGCCGTAACAACAAAACATAGAAGCCTTGATTGGGATGACTTTCTGGAAGTTTGGCTATCTGAGCTAAAGACTGACTCCTGTCCGAGGCCTAGACGGCTTCATAAGAAAACAAAAAGAGAAGAAAAATGTCAGCAAACAAGAGGTTGCCATTGCTAGGGACATATATGAGACAAATCAAACAACAGTTTTATCTGTTACCTAGATGCAAGGTTTTCATACAGGAGTAGCTCTAAACCCTCAAAAAGCTCACGAGCTTCATCTTTGTGTGATCCTCCACCCCCACCATGCTCTCCGATGGCCCAACACAATTGTAAAGCCAACTCTGTCTATGGAAAAAGAAAAATGTAATACACTCTACATGGAACTACGAGACCTACAAACTTCAATAAATGATGAGGTAATCAACTGACCTTTTCAGGGCTGTCATAGGCTTCCCCAAGCCTGTCCATTATAGGCTTCTGCAAAGATTGAAATCACATTGTAAACTTTCAATCAAGAACAGTAGAAAATATCTTACAATAACATTTAGTAAAGTTAGGCATGAGTATACTACAAGGCACGTATCCAGTATATTTTTCTCAATTTCCATTTTGCCCTTTAAATTTAAACCATATAATTAAGGTTTGAACGAAAACCCACAAGAACTGAAATCCATTACTCCCACCTGCTATCTGGTCAAAATTGTGCACCTCATAATTTCTAATTACATAACTTGAGAGCCTGCTGTGTCACCAACAGTTGCTAAAAGATTGAAAAGCAACAAAGATAATTGAAATAAATCGAACAATAATAAATGACTGAAGTAAAATTGTTTTTGTGACACTACCTTCAAAAGTGCAATAAAATCTGGAGAGCGCTGAAATGCAGCAAGCATGAATTCTAAAAGCCTCTTACGAACCTATAGAAATGCATAAATTCTCATAAATAAGATTCTCCATCTCTTGGAAATTGCATGAGTTACACATACATCATGATGATTCCAAAGTGACAAAGGATGATAAGAGAAGAGGCATCACGCAATCAGATTTCACAGAAGTTCACAAGAAAAGTTTATGATACATAGCTATAAAGAATAATTCAAGCTCAAACCATGCATATAATATGAAAATGAGTAAAGAAGAAAAGTATCAACACCCATATATACCAGGGTAGCACCATACCTTTTTTTTTTTTGGGTACACCAAATCAAGGATACTGAATCGTAAGAAACAAGAATGATGCAAATATTCAGTTTCTTGAAACTATAACAGTCTCCAATCATCATTGTCCATCATAAAAAGAGGACCAACTATCTTGGGTGCGTCGTGTGACTGGTGACTCTAGTGCCTCAAGTGTGACAAGATCAAAGAAAATGACATCATTAAGGGCATCATTGTGATACTGGCCAATGATCCTTGCAGAATCAAGTCAAATGAAGTGCATCTGATGATTGGTCCATTTCTATGCATCAATAATCATAATATTGTCCACATCTTTCTGTACAGTCTGCTAGGATGCCAAAAGAGCATTGCAACAACCTCAGCACAAGAAAACTTAAAATTTATTTAAATGGATACGCACCTCATATGAATAAATTTTGTCAGGAAATATTGTGGCATTTCGGGACATGAGTAGGGGAATCAATGCACAGACCAAAGCTGGAATAAAATAGAGAAAAAATAACTTATGAGAACAGACAAAAGAAATAAGTTTCAAAAATAAAATCTGTAAACAATAAAATTGATACCAAATTCTAATGAAGAATCAGAGCTATATCTAACATACAATTATTGACATCACGCAATGCTATAGAAAAATACACATCAAGAAACCGTGGTGCCACGCGTAGTATGTGTTTCAGCCTATCAGATTGAGGGGTATTAATTGCAGCCTGTAAAGCTGCAGCCATCCCAGGAGACGTCCAATGGCGTTCCTGAAAAACAACATAAATAAAATTTGAGCATATTTTTCTCAAATATTCAATTCTAAATAAACTTGATGCCATAAAGTAACGGTATCCAGTCATTTATAAAAATGTGCTCAAATCTTGATTCAAATATTTCTGAGTGGTCCAAACCACAGACATTAAGAATCATGCTTAAAGGAATCAAATAACAAAAAACAAAAGTCCAGTAACAGACCACGTCAAAGTCTTTACTAAATTCCTTGTGATTACAAAAAAATAAAATAAATAAAAGGGTTTATGTGATCATCTTGCATCTGCACTCAGTTGAAATGATAAAAAGGACGAATTAAACAAACTGCTTCAAAAATCTGTCCCACT